AGCCCTAAAACTGCTTTATCTATATATTGTATATCATACTAGGTATTGTCTATCTCTCCCCAAACAAGTGGACCCAGAACCTGAAGGATTCACCAGACACTGTTCTCTTCATTATCATTCTGCTCTTTCATTTATGGATTAGGCTCAGCCTCTTTCTGTATGTACTGAGAGTTGCAAACCTGGTTCTTACAAGAAAGTGAAGGAAGGGGAGCCATTTTGCTGCTATGATTGCATCCCATGTCCAGAGGGGAAGATGACAAACAAGGAGGGTAAGAGATAAACATAGAAAGCTGGATCCACTCAGTTATTTGCACTTAGTTTCCATTGAAATACAGTAAATGTAAGAAATTTTAGCGTAAATGCCGGTCCTACATAACACCCACAAGCGTTCCCTGGAAATCATACATTGGGCAAGCATTTGACCAATGAGTCCATGATTTACATTGATACTTACAGGAATCAGTGATCTCTTTCTGCCTTCCACAATGGTTTGCTATTATGATGGCTGCAGCCAACCAGATAAAGAGAGACAAAGGAAAAACTGATTTTGTCTGATCTCTCCTGCTCTCTGATTTGTTCAATCTAGCTCCCCTTTCCTCTCTGCATGGTTCATGCCCCAAAATGGTGGCCACTGACTAGCAAAGCACAATAAGGCTCTGGCTATTCAGATATATGAATCTGAGGAGTATATTGCAAGCTTTGGGAATTACTCTTTATATTTGCATATATGATTCGGAAGGTAACAAGCAGGTTGATATTATGGCCTGTGTGTATTTAAGTCAGTCTGCATCGGACGTAAATGCTACTGAGTTATGACATCACTCCCAGATTTAGCACACATGATCCCAAATAGTTTACCATCATTTTTATCCCTGCATCGTCCCACACTATGATGCTTCTTTAGCTCCATGTAGACCTTAAACAGTGATACTCACCCCTGAACACTTTTTATCATATCAACACTTCCTCTATTATGTTATTTGAACTGCTCTGTCCAAGGGTAGCAGTTACATCGTGCTGTTGATATAGATGGCAACTATGTGAACTCAGAATACATCTTTCTTTTTCCAGATATGAGTGACTGTAATAAATGCTTAGATGAAAACTATCCTAGCAAGAGGCAAGATACATGCATTCCCAAGGAATATAAGCTTCTTGTCTTTTGGAGAGCCTTTGGGCATTAGTTTAGCCTTCCTTGCTCTTTCCTTTGGTTTGATCACAGCACTGGTGCTGGGAATAATTCTGAAGAACCGGAACACTCCCATCGTCAAAGCCAACAACCGAAACCTCACCTATACTCTACTCATCTCCCTCCTGCTCTGTTTCCTTTGTGCTTTATTGTTCATTGGCCAACCTAAGATGGTGACATGTCTCCTCCGACAAACTGCTTTTGGCATCATCTTTTCAGTGGCTGTTTCTTGTGTGCTGGCAAAGACCATTACTGTGGTTCTGGCTTTCATGGCCACCAAACCAGGTTCCAGGTTGAGGAAGTATGTGGGGAAAAGACTGACCAACTCAATTGTTCTTTCCTGCCCCCTTATTCAAGCAGGCATATGTGCTGTGTGGCTGGCAACATTTCCCCCATTCCCAGATGCTGACATGCATTCCCTGACTGAAGAAATTATATTAGAGTGTAACGAGGGCTCTGTGACTATGTTTTACTCTGCTGTTGGCTACATGGGCTTCCTGGCAGCTGTCAGTTTCACAGTGGCTTTTCTTGCCAGGAAGTTACCTGACAGTTTCAATGAAGCCAAGTTTATAACTTTCAGCATGTTGGTCTTTTGTAGTGTTTGGTTATCTTTTGTTCCAAGTTACTTGAGCACTAAAGGCAAATATATGGTAGCAGTAGAGATCTTTTGTATCTTAACCTCTAGTGCTGGATTGTTAGGTTGCATTTTTCCCCCAATTTGTTATATTGTTGTGTTAAGACCTGACTTGAACAACAGGGAAATGCTAACAAGAAGAAAAGAATAAAGCACTGAATTTAAGTTCTTTGCTATACATTTTAATCGAGAGGTTTGCAAGTATGTGTGTTTTGTATTTGTGTGTTAAGTAGATTTTTAAAATTTCTCTCGTCTTCATCAGCTTTATATTAACCTGATTCACAATACTAATCTGTTGTTGTTGTTGTTATACAAGAACATGTAGACATGAAAAGCTAGTAACAGGGGGAAAGTAATGATAGAGTTGCAGAATAAAATAATAGCATCATATTACAAACTTGCTTTCCTGAGTAGCAAATGGCATTCAGATACCCCTGCCATAACAAATAATGAGAATGAGAAACTAGCTATGAAGAGGCCCTCCCTGTTGATATATACAAAGAAGGGAAATCAATCTGCATTTAAATTGTGAGTCCAGGCGCAATGAAGCCATGAGGGGTTTGGTGAACACACAGTGGATACATAAAATACGTCCAAGGACTGTGCTGGGATCAAATAAGGCCACAACTTTATTGATGATTTTCTGCAGGTTTGGGCATAGGATATGTATCTACTAATCAACCAGACTGCCCACTGGTTTATGGATAGTTAATTCCACCCACAAGGTCCCTTCCAACTCTGTATATTGAGTGTAAACCTGTCCCTACACTGTCCCATCAATGTGCTATGTGCAAGGCCTTTTGGCCAAAATATACTCACTACCTTTTAAGGCAGATAGCTGCTGTGGAAAGAGCTTTCTTCATTGTGATTCTCTGCTAACAAACCACTCTCCCAATGGAGAGTATCTCACCCAACACTCTGTTGGTTCCTGAACCCATTTCCCATGGCAAAGGATATTTGGGGATGGGATGATCAAGACCAAGAAAAGAAATCCAGAAATAATAAGAGGACAAGTATGGATCAGCAACAAAATATTGTAGGGGTTAAATTCTGAAACAGTATAAACAGGATCAAGTGTGACTGTCCCAATAAAATGAAGAACACACATAACCATGAAGATATACCGTAGATATAGATATATAGATATGGGACTCGGGTGGCACTGTGGGTTAAACCACAGAGCCTAGGACTTGCCGATCAGAATGTTGGCGGTTCGAATCCCCACGACGGGGTGAGCTCCCATTGTTCAGTCCCTGCTCCTGCCAACCTAGCAGTTCAAAAGAACGTCAAAGTGCAAGCAGATAAATAGGTACCACTCCAGCGGGAAGGCAAACGGCGTTTCCGTGCGCTGCTCAGGTTCGCCAGAAGCGGCTTAGTCATGCTGACCACATGACCTGGAAGCTGTACGCCGGCTCCCACGGCCAGTAAAGCGAGATGAGCGCCACAACCCCGGAGTCAGCCACAACTGGACCTAATGGTCAGGGGTCCTTTTATCTCTCTCTCTCTCTCTCTCGCTCTCGCTCTCGCTCTCTCTCTCTATATATATATGAATACACAAAGTTCAAGTGAAGCTTTGAGAGTGTTTTTAAAATATAATGTACAACCTAAGGACAAGAACTTTATTACTGTTGTAAAAGGCGAAAGATTTATACGATCTGAGGAGAAGCCAGAGGATTTGCTGAATTGATTAGGTAAATGGGAATACAAAAAGGGGAGGCGGGTGGAAGTCAAGGAAACTAGTAAATGAAGCAAAAGGCATAAAAATGGATCTATTTTTTCATATATTTTTCTTTTCTTTTAATTATGTGTTTTTACTTTTTCGATTATTGTATTTTTCTTTTCTGTATTTTTCTTTTTATTTTTATTTGTAAACTCTTGTCTATTTTTTGTAAAATCTCAATAAATATCTTATATAAAAAAAGAACTTTATTACTGTTGATATTTTCTAGCTACTCTAGGAGCCTTGTTGATGAAAAAGGAAGCTTAAAATGCTTCAGTTACTGTCAGATGGCAATGGTGGTTGCTCGTGAGTAACCATTCAGGACTCTTTTACTGGTTTTATTTTGGTGCAAGACTATTTACAGTGCAGAACCACAAGTTCATGTCTGCCTCAATCGCTAGCAAAATCCAGGAGTGGTTGTTTCCAGGTCCTCCCCCAACATAATAGCTTAGTCACCCCCAGCCTTTTCCTTCCTTATGTGCGTTTTACACCTCTTCGCAGGGTGGGCGACGGAAGAGGCGTGCTTCCCTCCTGGCTGGCTTGACCAGGAGTGGTGCTAAGGCTCCCAGCAGCATCCTCTGGTCCCTTCCCCTCTTCCCCACTGGAGGTGTGCCTTTCCCCACCGCAGGAAGAGTGTGCTGGTCCCATGGGTAGATCAAGAGGCGAGGTCCAAGTCCAGTCCGAGGTCAAAGGAGCAATATGGAGGCAGTCTGTAAAAGCTGAGGCCGGGAGCAGGGCAGGGTTCAGGCAGGAACTGGTGACCAACAATGTTGCTTCTGCAACTTGGGAGTGGGGCTGGCTGGCATTTATCTGCCCTGAGGCATAGGGTGGCCCCGATCCTCAGGTGACTCACCTCTCCTGGCCTGGAGGTCAGCACTCCTCCTGTGGGAACTTAGTTCCCTCCGCCTCTCTGCCCTAAGCCTCTACAACCCCGGAGACGCTGGAGGGTTATCTGACCCACAGGCAACCTCAGCTTCCTCTGACGGGGCTGAGAGTGGAGCACCAGCAGGTAATGGGTCCTCCATCACCTCAGGAGCCAGAGCAGACTCAGCTGGTGCCTGCACCTGAGGATCCAGCACAGGTGAGGACCCTTCAGGCTCATGCCCCAGCCCTGGCTCTGGAGGCAGGGAATCCTGTGCAGGCTGGGATTCCTCAGGTTCAGCATCCGACTCCGAATCCCAGGCCATCACAAAGAGGAACTGCTTCGCAAGATTTTGGGAGGTTCCCTGTAACCCAACTGCCCTCTCTTTCCCTTCCCTGTTCCGATAGCAGTCCCCTGACAGTTACCAAACAAACACACGCGATTATTCCACTAGAACAACTGCTTCATTTATTTAAAATGAGAAATAAAGCTAGGGTTGAATCAGCAGTGAATAAGTTGAATCAGCAGTGGTAAACAAAAGCTGGTAATAAAGTGAGGTGTTTTCCCCTCATAGCATACAGCAAAACACAGATATTTAATTCTTCCTTTTGTTAATGCTTATTATCTGTTCCCTATTATTCAGCTCAGGCCTCAACAAAATAATATAACATTTGGGGGAAAAGATGCAACCTAATAGACCAGCACTGGAGGCTAAGATAGAGAAGATCTCCACAGCTACTGTATATTTCCCCTTGGTACTCAGGTAGGATGGAACAAAGGACAACCAAACACTGCAAAATACCAACATGCTGAAAGTGATAAACTTTGCTTCATTGAAAATGTCCGGCAATTTCCTGGCAAGGAAAGCCACTGTGAAACTAATTATTGCTAGAAGACCCATGTAACTAAGGGCACAGTAAAACATAATCACAGTCCCCACATTACATTCTAGTATAATTTCCTCAGGCATTGAGTGTTTGTCAACATCTGGGAATGGGGGAGAGATTGCCAACCACAGTGTACAGATGCCTGCTTGAATAAGGGAGCAGGAAATGACAATGGAGTTGGCCAGCCTTCTCCCCACCCACATTCTCATCCTGGATCCTGGTTTTGTGGCCGTGAAAGCCAGAATCACAGTGACAGTTTTTGCCAGTACACAGGAAACAGCCACTGAAAAGATGATGCCAAAAGCAGCTTGTTGCAGGAGACATGTCATCTTTTTTGGTTGGCCAATGAACAGTAAAGCACAAAGAAAGCATAGCAAGAGGGTGACAAGGAGAGTATAGGTGATATTCTGGTTGTTGGCTTTGACAATGGGAGTCTTGTGGTTCTTCAGAAATGTTCCCAGTACCAGAGTTGTGATGAAAGCAAAAGAAAGAGCAACTATAGCTAAACTGATGCCTAAAGGTTCTTCATACGACAAGAAGCTGATGCTTTTGGGAATGCATATATTTCGTTCCTTGCTTGGATAGTTTTCATCTGAGCATTTAGTGCAGTCATTCATATCTGGGAAAAGAAAAGTATTAACCTTAGCTCACATATATGCTATCAGTCCCAGACACACCCCATGCCTTCCCTTAAACTCAGAAAAAGAAATGGATCTATTCAAATTGGAAAATACTTTGAATTGTTGTGGGGACTTGTTTAATTGCTTTGGAGCTATTTGGTGCTATAATATGATAATGGACTGCAATGGAAAGGATGTGGTAAGCCAGATGAAGTATGCATGACTGTGATGTGGGAGTAGTGGCTGGTGCAAAATTGACCATATTCTAAGTTTTGTGAGAAAGAGGGAGCGGGAAACCTGCCCTTAGATTTCAGAATAGGGAAGCAGCAGCAGAAGATAGATGATATTACCATGGAACTGAAGAACAAGTAGAAAAAGCTGAATAGTGCGCAAATACCTTGATTCAACGACAATGTACACCTCAATGCTTTGTAACAAATCAGCATGTAACATGATATACCTTCCTGATGGCTTGATGTAAGCAACATGCATAAAATCATTCCTGGGCACCCATGAGGTATATAGGCTTTGGAATCCATTCCCCAGTACCATATTACTGCAGTCTGAATATAATATTCCCCACCCACCCACCCCGGTGTGATGATTGGCTCAGCATCAGACTCTTATCCATAACAGCCCCTTTGAAAGTAGCTTGTTAGCTATGACTAGTTATAGATCCCCTTCATTTATGAGGGAACTAAGTGCAACTAACTGTGCAATTGTCTATGTCTCCTACCTTCCTGGTTTGAAATTTCGCCCTCCGGACACAGGATGCAGTCATAACAGCAAAATGGCTTCCCTTCTTTCACTTTCTTGCTAAATCCTGGTTGGCAACTTTCAGTACAGGCCGAAAGAGGACGGGCCTAATTCATAAATGAAAGTGACAAATCATAATCATAAAAACAACACGTTTGGAATCCCTCAGGTGCTGGATCCAGCTTTGTGTTACTAAAGTGACACAGCATTACAGTAGAGTATGAATTGGCTCCCTTGAGAGCACTGGACACTGTAGAAGCAATTGCCAACCCTAGTCTCAACAGCTACTATCTGAGGTGGAGGAAGTCATTTGGGGACATTTGATGAATTCAGTCTCTGAATATTCTAATACAAAATGTCCTGATCCATACCATCAGAATGTTAATTATCCAACATATTGTGTTTCTTCTATCAAATATGTAATTAATTATGTATTCTGAGGGAAAATATGCAAACAAGTTCATCGCACCAGTTTTGTTTTTTTAAAAGGAACTGAACTGAGCTATTCATAAAAATATGCATCAATAACAGTGGGAAGATAACTCAGTTTTACAGACAGTATACAAAAGTAATATTTAAATAAATAAGGAGAATGGCAGTAAATACCAGTGTGTACTATGACTTATGCACCAGGCTCTTCACCTCATCCCTGTCCTTCCCTTCTTTAACTATCTCCATCTTCACTACCACCCTTCCTTTTTTCTCTTCTACAACTCCCATATCAACTTTAGTCATCTCCTCTATACTTCCTGCTGTCAACTCTCAGTTTCTCCCTCTGGCCCCATTTCATCCCCTGTTGCCTTCTTGTCATGATATATCAGGACACCTGGGAAGGGGAAGAGGATCCTGGCAAGGAGTGTTAGCCACAACTGGTACAAATTGATGATTGGTCAAGAGAGGTTGGGGACTTAGGAGGTACTCACAGGACAGTAGTAGGGTATGTTCAAGGGGCAGCTGACAGTCCATGGGAGCCAGGGGAAAAGGACACATCATTAGAACCAAAGGTACTTCCATCTCTATGGACACAGCGGGCTGTGAGGCATCAGGAACAGTGGGAAACACACTCTAGAAGACTGAGGCAAGCAAGGGAACACAGCCCAGCTCACTAATTGACCAGGTGGACACCATGAGGCTTGTTAGTTCTGGGAGGAAGTTTGTGGGCACTCAGATGACTCTAGGCTTTCCTAACCTGGGTCTCTTGCCGAGGTGGGAACCTGGCCTTACTGTTTGACTCTGGACTTTGCTTGTTGTATTGGACTGGGACCAGTATTTGACCTTTTGGTCAAATTGCTCTGGGGACTGTTTGCACCAGTGTGATGTACTTCCAGTTATGTGGACACTCCTTACCCATTCGCCCATGTCCTTTTTCCTCCGCCATTCAGTCACATTTTATCCTATCTTCATTTTTTATCCTTTTCTTGGTCCACGCTATATCCTCTTTTCAAAATAAAACAAGAATTTTGCAAGTGTTCATCATCAAATGAAATCAGTTTTAAAGATCAGGATAGAACAACAGGGCTCCTTTATTATTAGACTTTTTGCTAAATGCCTGTGACTTGGATTCTACCTGGTTAAACCAGCTGTGCCAAGTTATTACTTCTATATCAATGGTGAATGCTTGATCTGAAGGCGCTCCAGGATCCATCCTTCCAACTCTGACTCTATGAAGGGATTGATTGGAGAATATAATCCAATTGATAATATCCAAGCTAGATGTTACCTCCCCATTCTTGTTGAAGGATACCACATCTCCTTCAGTGTTATTAAATGAGATACGTCTCAGAATGTGGTGGAGCTAAATTGTAAACAGAAAAGACAAGTGTTTAGAAAAGGCTGCACTCTAATACAGGGCTGAGCAATCCTTTTTCCTCTGAGGCCAAAACCTACAGTGAGTGGAGTCAGGGACAAGCATGTAGAGAGCCAACCCATTTTCTCCCACATAAATGTTTTTCTTTCATTCTTTCTGTCAGTCCTCTCTCTCCCTGCTCCATCCCTCAGGGTGTGTGACCCCCTGCTCTGAGAAAAAATTTGCAGGCTGTTAATGGTGTTTCACAGCCAAAGGAATGCACATGAAAGATAATTATTTATTGTCAAGAAGATCACATTTGCTTCTACTCCTCTGGATACCTATACATATATAGCAGCTACACAGCTACACAGCTATTCGCAGGTTTGCTGTAACAACTGGAATAGCAAGAATGCTGCTCAGCTCTGTTGACTGTTACCACTGCTTCCTGACTGTTAGTGAAATGAGGTCTCAATGGGCTACAAAACATCTCCAAGCAAATGCTTTCATGTACGTGGTGGGGCGGGGGGGGGGGGTTCTGCTCAAACATGGAGACAGCCATCATTGCTCTTTCCTCAGAGAAACAAAGACACAGCCATCATCTGTCCACAAAATTATAGATTCAGTTCCTCCTCATATTCCACATGCCCGAACCCTGAGAGGAAAGAGCAAGTTGACAGTATTTTGGAAACCCATACATTGTGAAGGAATAACAGTGCTCTTCCATGTTGAGGATGTTCAACCCATTACCTGCCAAAACAGTTGATTTTGATTCTTCACTCTCCCTCCATATGCCATTCCTATGTGTCTGGGTCTGGATGTGGACATAGCATGTAACGCATGGGCCATGGCATAGACAGCACTGTGGATACTGTAACTGTGCCCTGTCATACTCATTTCAAAAAATGACCCTGGAAGGTTCTCCAGCTTCTCTTCTGCTGTGCAAATGTTCCCCTCCACCTGGTGTGCAGTGATATCTGGGAATACACAATCAAAAGCCTGTTGCCAGAAGTCCCTGATAAAGCCATCCCCATCTGTGTTGGAAGGGTTTCTGTGCTCAACATATTGATGAAATCCAGGTGGGTCACGGGAGTGAATTTCAAAGGCTATAGCACCATTGAATAGTCGCGAATCCCAGTTTCTTTGATAGACGAATGAATTGAATTCAATCTCAGCTGTTGTTATCCAAACTTTACTTTTTACATTATTTGTCATATCATGTTCTGATAGGTATGGAAGCCATTTAAAAAGTGCCATAGAATAAAAGTTTCCATTGGCCACCACTACATTAGCCTTGCTGCTCATTATTTTATCATGTATTTTTGCCCCCTGTTGTAGCATGTCATTAATTTCAGAGATGAAACTAAAACTGGGAATTCTTTCTATGAAGGCAAAACAGATGCCATTTTTAGAAAACAATTGAAGTACTGTATGCACAAATCTTTCCCCATTGGCATTGTCCATTGCAGTGACCCCAATCCATGTCCACTTGAAATGCAGAAGCAAAGAGATAATTCCCTCATATTGAAGGTCTTCCTGGGCTGTCAACTGGTAGAAGGAAAGCCCTGGGGTTTTATCATTCATCACTGGAGCTGAGCCATAAACGAGCTAAAGAGGGAATGGAGGAAGAGACGAGACAAAATATAATTTCCAGAGTTATTTCAAACTATTTATGTACATTATATGATGAATTCTGTTGGCCGCATGCTGTCTTTCATTTATTCAAAATAGACACATTCATATGAGTTGAAAACTGGGATAATTTCCCATTCCTGCTTGTTAAACATTTGATCTGATGAGTGGGGGCAGGCACTGATTTATTTATTTATTTATTTATTTATTTATTTATTTAGATTTTGTGTGTGTCATTGCTGACTTTGGTAGGTTTTGTGGATTGAATAAAATTGATGGGAGGGGCACATCAGGCCCCAATAAGAGGATTAGCTACCTGTGCATTAGATATTATTTAGCTCAGAAATGTAAGTTCCGAATTTATTTTTCTAGAGCTTCTTCTTTCTAATTCATGATGCACAGATCCCAGCCCAGAGCAAAACTGAGATTTTCGCCTCCTTTTTCCACGATACCTCACACTTCTTTTATGAAACAATATTTAAATTGTGAACCAGCTGTTCACTACTATTATTCCTTTCCAGCAAATATTGATTGTTTCTGCTACTTAACACAACTTCATTATGTGTTTAATCTTCCCCAAACCCATTACTTTTGGTGGATGGTGTGATGAGGAGGGAGAAGGATTTTAGTGCCAGTTACCTGTATATTTGAATCCTGAAACCTCCCCCCCCACACACACTGAATGTGCATGCCTTCTTTGCTAAGTAGAAAATGCTGCATACCCAAACACAGGTGGTAAGGGAGAAGTCCATTATCCCACCAGTGGACTTTGGGATATCAGTCTCCTGGAAAGGGGAGGGGGGTTGAAATAGAGAATGGATTATTCTCCCCTCCCATGCAAATTTACTGCAAAGCAATGTTGTCATTAAAGAGCATAGTAGAAATGAAAGGGTGGATACTAGAAAGCTCCCTCTCCTAACTTTCTGGAGTGGGGGACCTATACCCTGAATTGGTGCTGTAGACCTAGACTCTTCTTTTCCTCTTTGCAATCTAATAGAGGTGTTGCACATAAGTGTCCTACCTGTGGAATCTTATAGATATCCAAAATGGTTGCCACATAAAAGGAGATTTCAGAGTCGAGTCCCCCAATAACTCCTGTCAGATTATTTTCAGTATCACATACATAGTTGGGGACACATTTCTCCAGCTTGGATAAAAGTATCAGTGTGGCAAGATACGTTTTCCTTGCATTAGTATAGCTGTCATAGATGTGGAAGCCCAAAGTGATATTGGGTAAAATGTGGGAGCATCCATTGATCTCCTTGACTGCAAATGCCAACGCCAGGATGTGCTGGTAAGTCTTGGGCACCACCCTAGAATGAGAGTTGCAGATTGTTTCAGACACATCTTCAACACTTGGAACATTTAAATATGTACTCAGAAGTTAATCATATGGAATTCAGTTAAGTTTACTACTGCGCTACTAGACTGCTATACACCCCTACCAAGAACTAAAATATTCATTTTTTCCACAGCTGATTCATGTGAGTTTTCAGATCAGTATGTTATATTTAAATCAAAGATAACTGAGTTGACATTTGCAGCATCAGCCATTGTTCTGAAGGTGCTGCTCTGAGATTGATCATGAGAGGCTGAGTTCTTACACAAGTTCTTCAGGCAGTACAGGTGGAGGTTCCTCCATGAATGTTGCTGAAGTGGATAAGAAGCCACCATGGGAAACAATGCCACCAATGATGAAATCTCCTGGCTGATGATAGATGTGAAGTGGACGATGAGGACCTTGGAGCCTGCATTTTGCTATGTGAGCCTGACATACCATGTCAGGAAATAGTTCCAGCAGAAAGATTACTAAAATAACCATCCTTAATACAATACAATCTTCATTCTACACAGAAGCCACTATTTTTCTGGCAATACTATGAGCAGCATCTACAAGATGAAAATTGTCTACTTTGAATGGTAATTTAGTTTCCTAAGAGGCTTCAATTTGGTATCTCCAAACTCAGACTTGTGGATCCCAGACTCTATCTATTCTGATTTGATTTATAGTATCCTTTGACAGTTATCACTGAACATCCACAAGGATTTTTGAGAAGCAGCAGCTTTAATTATAGTCCTCTTAATAATCAAACAGGAAAGTAGTTATTCATAAGTGCTAGGTGTTCCCAGTGGAAATGCTGGAGAAAATGTGTTTGTCACATATTCAGTACTGTCACTTTTTAATTCCCTTGGGTTAGATAATAATGGACCAATGGTGTAGTGGTGAATTTTGAAGTTAGGAGCTCATCATAACAAACCCTGTAGCCAATTAGGACTCCAAAATGTAGTGTGGGGTTGTTAGCATCTTGGAAATTGTTTGAGGAGACCTGGATCTATATCCCTGATCAGCTATGTGTCATGACTACAATCTATGCACAATACTTACTTGGGAGTAAGCTCTGTTGAATTCCAAGAGCTTATCTATGATCGCAAAGTTGTACAAGACTCGTAAAACATATAAAGGAGAAAATACCATTAAAGGAAAACAAAATGCCATCTCTATTATCATCCCACATCTTCAAATTCCACTATAACATACTAATGACAAACAGCAGTAAAACTTGGAAGCTTAGTTACTACTTCTTCAACTTCCGATAGCAAGGAGCATCTTGTGCCCTGGAAGATGATGACAAATCTGCTGTTCTACAGCACAGCAAGGGAGAGTAGAGTTTGGAATTACCCAAGGGAAACCAACAAACCAATCAACCACCAGAAATAGTATATGATCCATCTCCACACAATGCTCTTCTTTCCCTCACACACTCAATGTTCTGATAATGCTTCTTGCATTGTTATTCAACTCACAGAAAAAAGTAGAGTACAAAGCATGTTCTTGTATGGGGAAGATCCTTGTTTTGCCCTCCAGTACCTCTAGTCAAAATGAAGTCATGGAACCTCAGTTTCAAATCCTAGCCATAGTAACTAATGCTGTGTTAGGTGGTCCACTCCATCACATACAACGCAACACACTCAGCTTCCCATTCCCTTATGTTTCTGTCTCTAAAGTACTCAATGGCTGCTCCAGTGCTTAATCAACAAGTCGTCTACACCTGTTCTGTACTTGAGCCTATTCTAGCACACCTGCCCATGCCAGAATCCAAAACAGACCCAGAGCCGCACGTGCCAGAGCCCAAAACAGAGCTTGAGGCACCCAAAACAGAGTTCGAAACAGAGCCAGAGCCAGAGCCAGTCATCCACACACTTTTTTTTTACCCTCCCCCAACCCAGACATTTGCTTAAAATGCTAAAAAAAATAGCCCCAATGGGCATGTAGGCACCCAAAAGGACATGTCCGGGATTTCCTTGATGTATGGCAACTAACCCTATGACCATTGCAGAAACTAGGTCTAGGAGGGGGAATATCCTTTCCATACAACCAGATCCAAGCTACTGAAGGCATCATATGCCCCTCTGTCCCAGAGGTTCTTCACCATGAGTTTATTTGTGGCATTATTTCAATACCCTTTATTATCATATAATAAATGTTTCTCTTGAACCTCAATGCAATGAACTCTCTCTCTCTCTCTCTCTCTCTCTCTCTCTCTATGTTTTCCAATACACCCCCAATAATAGCCAAATTATAACAATAACAATTAATGCCCCAATTATACACTTATCAAAGTCCCAATCAATCTCCAGTTAAAGTGGCTCCCCACATGATAGTTTGGGTGCATTTCCAATCTTATTTCACTGTGTTCCATAATCTTAATTAATGTCAGTTACATTTCAGTTACAACAATAATCCCTTAGTCAACAGCTACATAATTACTGGTAATGATTTCCATTTGTGATGTTACAATATATAAATTTATAAAGCTTCAAGTGAGGAATTCAAACTCTTATCTTTATTCTGCCCTGCATGTGAAAATGACCGCTCCCCGCTTAAAACGGGGGGTGCCCTTTGCGTGGACGCGTGCAGCCCTGGATCTGGAGTGGCCCCATCAGCATAGGCTTTGCCTTCCCTCAGGTGGGATACCTGGAGGTCCCCGCCTACCTCAGTGAGTTGTCCAATCCCACCTGGGGGAAGCGTTGCCAGGGAAACCAGGCCAGGTAGGGGGAGGGATTACCTGCCCACACAATAGAGGGAGGATCTTACCTGGGAATCCTCACTTGGCTCCAGAGCTTCTCCCACCCTACCCACCCTCAGTTAATGTCTTCTTTTGCAGGTTAACTTTTCTTCATAGGTTTTGCAGGTTAACCTTTCTCCACAGGTATGCGGGCGCTGCTACGATAAGGTCTCTGTTAAAGGGCCGGAAAGGAATTTCCCTGCATTGGCAGGTTTCGCCTTTCCCGTAGCAAAACGTCACAACTTTGGTGGTATCAGGCCTTGGGCGGAATCCTTTAGTCCATCTTCCTCTTTGCGGCGGCGATACCAGGGTTCCCCGTTAAAGGGGTTTCTGAAGGGAGGCTTTGACCGTACGCCGAAAGGTCGTCATTGCTCTCCCCTGCGGCAGCGTCGTAACAGGGGCGGCTGGCTCTGCTTGAACATATGTTCTCCAGAGCCAGCCCATCCCCCCCCACACTGGATAACCCTGAAGCTCCCTAGGTCCCCGGCTGGGGACTGGGGAGGGAGAACGCCCAATGCCTGAGCCAAGGTCTACCCACATTTGAAATTTAATAAAGTTGTGGCCAATTTAATCCCATAGCACGTTGTCTAGAGTCATTATTCCACATGACGGGGGGGGGGGGACCATTCAGGATCTGGGGACTCCACCTGTCCACGCAACATGGAGATTCCTTCTGTCTATATAGCGTGTTGTCTCTTTCACTTCCCAGCTATTGTATTCTCCCATCATGGCTTGGAGCAGAACTGAATCTTGAAGTTTCTCAGAGGTCTTATCTCTCCATCCCTTGCTTTGATATCTCAGAACAGGGAACAGTCTGCTCAGGGCCGTCTTTAGCATATGCGCCGCCAGGGTGCAAAAATCTGCCCAGCGGCCCCAAATTTAGTTTAGCCACCCCCAAATTAACTTTTATTGAGCTTTTTTGGGGAGAGGTGAACTCAAAGTAGGGGGGGAATAGCTCACCTGTAACGACGCAGCGGAAATAATTGCTTTTGTTTCCTGACTCTTTGGGAGTATTTGGTGCTATGGAGTAACAGAGCGATGGGGGGGGGAGGGTTACTTTCGCTCCATTGCTTTTCACTGTCACCAATTGAGAAGGACCATATACAGTAGGTATACCCCAGAATTTGGTGTCATGGTGCCCCACACCCCTTGCAACCCTAAGTAAAGACGGCCCTGAGTCTGCTTTAGAGATTTATGGCCCAATTAAACTTTATCTTAGATTACATTCCATCAGTAGCACACATAAATCTCAGTCTCTTTTTCCTTGTCTGTTGTTTTTAAGCAGAGGTGAGGAGAATTACTCTGTCTTTCCAATAGTCATACTTGAGCTACCCCTCCCCTCCTTGCTTGATTTCAAACCACACACACTTTCTATTTTTGCTTGTTAATATCAACATTACTCCAATGTCCCTTTCTCACTTGTAAATATATTTTTATTTTCTATTCCAGGTTGCCGTATCGTGAATATTTAAAAGAAACTTAGAATAAACAAACTGTGGCTTCCTTCTCCCCATCTGACTCTCATGCCAAAGAAAATCTTATCTCAATTCAAACCTTTGATCCATGTAGCTGGTATATTTGGCAGTATATTTTTGCAATCCTTTTGCATCACGCGCCTGTACTTTAAAGCCAATTAAAGATCCAATTAAATGGAGAACCTCTGCTTCTTAATGGCGGCATAGGAGGGTTATCGCCAGGCAAAGTGCTTTTGCACTCAGTGCCTCCCCACCTCCCATATTCCATGCAAAAGCCAGGTACCAAGATGAACTATGAGTGAAACTCATTTCCCCTGTCCTTGTGGGGAGTTTGCAAGGATGATTTACCCTCTGTCATCCTTGTTTTTCGTTCACCGACGATCACCAGCTGTTGTGGGGGATGCCTCCATTAAGGTAGTTGGGACCATAAACCTAATGCAATGAACTTCTGATTGCATCCTTCACTTCTTTATTTCGTAGTGTGTAGATGAATGGATTCAGCAATGGAGTAACAATTGTGTTCAAGATGTTGACAATTTTGGTCATTTCTAGGGATGTCCGTTTAGAAGGTTTGACAAAAAGAAAGATGGTGGAGCCATACCAAATGAGCACTACAGCAAGATGGGATGAGCATGTGGAGAAGGCTTTTTGTTGACCTTGCACAGAAGGGATGCGTAGGATAGTGGTAATAATGCATATGTAGGAAAGAAAGGTGATCAGACAGGAGCCCAATATGACAATGATGGATATTACAAAAGCTGCCATCTCAATGTCATAGGTATTGGTACAGGAAAGAACTATCCAGGAATCAATGTTGCAGTAGAAGTGATTGATCACACTGGGGCCACAGAAAGACAATCTTGTGATTAGAAAGGCTGGTATAAAAATAATGAGGAAACCACATAGCCAGGAGCCAACTGCCAGCTTCCTGGAGAGCTGGTTGTCCATGATGGTGCTATAGTGCAGGGGATCACATATGGCCAAATATCGGTCATACGCCATGACAGACAAGAGGAAGTATTCTGTGCATCCAAAGGCAAACACAAAGTACATCTGAAGGATGCAGCCAGTGAAAGAGATGCTTCTGCCCCTCCCCAGAAAGATGGCAAGAGTCTTAGGGATAGAAGCTGTAGTGTACCATATTTCTAGGAAGGAGAGATTACATAGGAAGAAATACATGGGAGTATGGAGACGACGATTTGCTATTACCAGAATGATGATGGACATATTTCCCAGCAGTGACATCACATACATGATAAGAAAGAGCATGAAGATGGACATCTGTAAATACTGAGATCCCGGGAAGCCAAGAAGGATGAATTCCATCACTTTTGTTCCATTTTGAGATCCTTCATTTGTATTTCCCATCAATCTTCTTTTAACTGCTCAAACAAATAGCCAAATTAACAGATTCATTATCCACCAGGAAATGATACAATACTAGATATATATATCTCCAACATCAACCTGCCCATGCACCTTTCCCATCAACCTCTTATCTGTCAGGACTTTCCCCCCAAATACTCTGACTAGGGCTTTTTCAAAGCTGGAACTTGCCCGAACTGAGTTCCGCAACAAAGAAAACAGAGGATAGTGATATAATAGCAAGATGCAAAGTCACACAGAAATATATCACCAAAGGCAACTGCTTCACAATGAGGAATATAAACAAGCAAACAAATAAATTCCAAAAGTAGTCTTTTTCTTTACAATCACTCGTGTATTTGATAGAAGCAACATCAACTCTATTTGCAAATAGAACACTGTAGGGCCTCTTTCTGTTCTTCCCTTGGGAGATATGTATATAGAGACAGATTTGCCCATTTCTCTAAACTATTGATTGTATACTGCATAGTCTTCATGGTACAGCTCCATGATTAAGCCCCTCTGTGGGAAGAAATGCTGATTGTACCAGAAGAGCACCCGGGAGCTGAGTTCCGGGTGTATATATGAATATATTATTATTTCATGGCGTAAATCAGTTAATGTAGTATATACATAATAGTGCTGAGATCACCATAGCCATTCTAAGAGAATGAGGGAGGCATTCATAGTGAATCCCAGCACCTCTTTTTCTAGAAAAATATCACTGACTCTCACTATCTTGTATGGTGAAAAGATCCTTCTTCATTGTTGCTATCTGCTAACAAAATACTTTCCAAATGGAGGCTCACCCAGTACCCTCACTGATTTATTTATTACTTGCTTTTGACTTCTTTTTAGACCTCACTTTATCTACCTTTTTCTATCGATATCATCAAACAGACCAGTAGTGTGTGTGTTTCCTAAGTGGGCTATCACTATAGATAAAGCTTTGTTCCATGTTACTATATTGTGAGCCTAAACCGTTAGTGGGACAACAAGAATAGCCTTCACACACACACAATTTGAGACTACAATAGAGGGGTTCATGCCATTAACATTCACATCACTTCTAGCTCTCATCACTTCTAATCAAATACTTTGTCTTTCTAAATGGACAAGGGCCCCATTTGCTGTCTTGTACAGATCCACATCCTTTGTTCCCTTTCATGGCCCATTGCCTTATCAGGAAGCTGGACCTACTTCAGGAGAACACATTAAGTTGAATTCTCTCAAAGTTTATATTCTGAAACACACTGGAAAATAGAGCCACTTACCAACTATTTGTATCAATTTACTTATATGCTATTCTTCCACTGTTACTATTTTCAACTACTAATTGGCTATCTTATTCTTTCTACTCACCCAGTTAAAAATTCGGGTAAGGATGTTGTCCTGCACAGCTGTTTGTAACTGAAATTAATGTAGCTGAATAAGCAATATTTATTTGATTAAAAGCCACGGCTCCTTTCAGATTTCACCTCAGCTTTGAAAATATACCCCTATCAAGTCTTAAACACCTATGGAGGAAAAGAAATACCTTAGATAACTTAAGTTTGCTGTGTTCCCACAGATCCTCCAACATAGAGAGTCTAGGAATACACCAAGGGATTTGAAGGACAGACCAAGTATCTAGGAGCAATTCTGAGCAATCTGTCACTTAAGGTATAATTCAGTCCCATTGAAGTGGACTTTTTAATGCATCTTGAACATCCAATTTGTTTGAATTGCATATAATTCCCTGGTGCACTATTAAAAATCCTTGCAGAGGGAAAACACTATTGGTGCAGGAGCAAACTTGAACAAATTGTAACCACTAGGGGAGAAGTTTTCAACCTTTTTGAATCCAAGGCTCCCTTGACCAACTACATTCTTTCTGTGGCACCTCCCTTAAGGGGGTGACCAAGCTGAAACACAACGACTCCCCTTCCTGCCAAAAACGAATGAATTAATTACCAGATTAACTTAATTAACAGTACAGCAGACCAACTAATGCCCATGACCCAGCTATTCAATAAGTAGTAGGTGAAAAAACCAACCCACCCAGAGGTGGATGTGCCAAAGATTCCTACATGGCCCTGAAGCAACAAATAAGTCACACTGAGAGATGGGGGGAGGGCGGTGCTGCTAGGAAAAGAAGCGGGAAGGAGGCATCCCCCCAGCCCTTAAAAGGCCGACCCACCACCACCTCACCCACAAGTGTGTGATTGATGCAGAAGCAGCAGATATGCTATCTCCCTAAGTCTGAGCAGGCTGAGGATACACCCCACTGGCCAGCACTGAGGCAGAATGGGCAGCTGACTGGGTCTTCCTGTCACCTTGATTACCATTCATTCAGTAGGGATACCTGAAGATGGGAATCCTAAGTATGGAGTTCTCCACATTTATATACTTCCACACAAGCAGCAATTTTATTTATTACAAGGAAAAGAAAAACAGAACTAAATGCACAACCTGACCAGCCAGTTACAAATTAATTGTATGTAGGCAGAGCCCAGTCATTGTTACATTCAAATATTCTGTTCTAAAGAAATCTTAATTTTCCTAGAGATATGCAAATGTAGTGGATGTATCTAGCATTAAAAATCTACAGATACTGAGAGTGCTGAGGAAAGAGTTGGAGCAAATGCGTGTTGCTAATTTGCCATTGTAAGAAACTATAATTTAAATATCTTTTGGGGGCCTCACTTATTCCTGTATGATAAATGAAGGGGCTTGCATAGGTGCAAAAGTGTTCCTTACACCTTACTCTGTCATGCTTTCCTGAGATAAGATTGAGTTGAAAAGGGAAAGACACTACTGTTTGTGGGGAGACAAGTCAAGTTCTTATCTCTGTAGTTCTGAGAACAGGCTTTTCTTATGTTCTTATTTATGGCTCCCAAATCATAAATTTACCCCCAAATTAGCTTCATTGTTTGAAGTTGAGTTCCTCCTTAAGGGAGTTGATAACCTTCATATTTGCCAGGACAATCTGGTTAAGTGTTTCACCTTTTCTGCAACTGTTAGGTAGAGGATGCCAGTTGTTCTCTTATGTCCTGGACAAGATAGAAAATGTACTAGGTTTATAGGGCAATTTCAATATTAAACCATGCGAGCCTGCAATGAGAATCTGCTCCATAGAAACAAACCACATAAAAAGTCAAAATAAGCACCAATCTTTTTGACAGATTGAATACATTAAAAATTCATTGTTAGGGGTTTGAAACCATTGTGGCATTCACCATATTGTATATGTATTATTTTTAATGTATTTCACCACATGTTTACACAGAATTTATTACAGAGGGCAAAAGCTCAAAGGGCCATTTTTTTCTTCCCAAGTGGCTACAGATGGTTGGATGTTTACTTAATTACTTAAGTTTAAGTAATTAACTTATTTTTTTTACTGATCCAACCCAAGAAGTGGGCAAAATATCAATAATAATATCAATAATAATAATAATAATAATAATAATAATAATAATAATAATAATAATAATATTTTTATACCCCACCCATCTGGCTGGGTTTCCCCAATATCAAATATTGATTATACCCTCCCTTGTTTTTCAGTAACTTAGGCTTTGAGCTGACTCATAATTAAATATTCCCAAGTGTATATATACTGGTGATTCAAAGTAGTCCCTATTGTTGCTGCAATCAAGTCAATACAGCACTGCCAAATATAATTTGCTTTTAATTGGTGATGCATGCACCTCATTTATTGGTTTGCCAGGATGTCACATCACTCCTCCCATTTCCTCCACATAAAATACTGAGCGAACTACTTTTCCCGCTTCTTACATCAAAACAGGTTTTCGGTTATATTCTAAAGACTATATTCTAAGTATCAGGAAGAGAGAGAAATAAGATACTCTGTGATAATTGTCAAGACGGAGATTCAAGATGCATTTTGGAGGCAATATTTTGAAAGGTAAAACAAAATTTATTCTTCCTTCCTTCCTTCCTTCCTTGAAAGCACATTTAAACAGCAACTCTGAATTGCATCCAGACCTAAGCTTAAAGTAGACCTACTGAAATCTAACTTATGTCCCCATTCCTTCAATGGATTTACTCAAAGTATTGATCTGATATGTAGAGATCTGAAGGGTTCTGGAAGCTTCTCTGTGTGAAAGAAACAAGCAGAAGGTTCAAGATGTTTGGGTTATTACTTTAGAGAAGCTGAGTACAGCTGGCTTAAACTGATTCTGTTATCTCATGCCGACTATAAAAATAGGCCAGAAGAAGCCTGGGTTTCACTTTCTCTTTCTATCGCTTTTCATTCTGGTGTGGTGTTCTGCACATAGTATGCTTAGTATTAAAGTTTACACTTGTAAGTTATTGTAAGTTTAAGTTAAGTCTGCTGCAACTGGATTTCTTATGGGCAGTGCCAATTCTGAATGTATTGGATTTGTGAACATTGTGCTCATTTACCTTCAGTAGCAGTAAAGCTCTGCTGGATGAAATATTAATTAATTAATTAATCTGGTCTATTTTTGGTGGAATCTTGTAACGTGTTTAAATTTTTACTCTGCTAACTATACATTGGAATATATTCTAGATCAATATTGAGTAGAGTTAATGACAATTTAGCCATCCAGATGTTTGCTGGACTGCAACTCTGATCATCCCTGATCTCTGGCCATGCTGGCTGGGTTAATGTGAGTTGGAGTCCAGAAATCTATGCAGAACTACAGGTTCCCCATATTTCCATCACAGGGTCCAGTTCCTCTTTGAATGAGGGAGCATGGTACAGTGGTACCTCTGGTTATGTACTTAATTCGTTCCGGAGGTGCGTTCTTAACCTGAAACTGTTCTTAACCTGAAGCACCACTTTAGCTAATGGACCCTCCTGCTGCTGCCGCACCGCCGGAGCACGATTTCTGTTCTCTTCCTGAAGCAAAGTTCTTAACCCGAGGTACTATTTCTGGGTTAGCGGAGTCTGTAACCTGAAGTGTATGTAGCCTGAAGCGTATGTAACCCAAGGTACCACTGTATTATAATGTTTCGCAAATTATTTTAACAATTTATTCCTATCTTTCTTGTAAAAATTGTGGGAAAAGAGATGAGGGGTAGCCAATTAGTGGCCTCCAGATGTTGGACAACAACTTCCATTGGCCCTTGCCAGTATGGCCAGTCCAACATAGGGTTGACACCACATTGGCTTCCCCTTCTCTACATGGCCAGACAAAATTTTGTGAAATTTACCATTGAATCCTATCTGTGCCTTTGCAGCTGATTGTCATAGAAATTATGGTAGATTTTTGTGACTATGTTGTGCTCAGCATAAAATAAAAGGGCACATGGTGAGCCAACTTATGTTTCTCAGGAGCAATCACTGACACAGCTGCATTTAAGAATGTAGAGCAGTAGAATAAAATGAAGCTGAACAGGCAGAACAGTTGAGACTGTATGTAGAAAATAGCATAAAGCTACTTATTTCTTTCAGATTGTTTTGAGGAAGATGGAATCACATGAGACTTTAGATTGTAGCCAGCGCTGGTCATACTTCAACTACACTCCTTTAAATTAATAGACATGACAAATTTAGATCTACAGTGGTACCTCGGGTTACATACGCTTCAGGTTACATACACGTCAGGTTACAGACTCTGCTAACCCAGAAATAGTGCTTCAGGTTAAGAACTTTGCTTCAGGATGAGAACAGAAATCGTGCTCCGGCGGCCCGGCAGCAGCAAGAGGCTCCATTAGCTAAAGTGGTGCTTCAGGTTAAGAACAGTTTCAGGTTAAGAACGGACCTCCAGAACGAATTAAGTACTTAACCTGAGGTACCACTGTATATCAGTGAGTCCACTCTGTAGAATTTAATTGGCTAAAACTCTGTGTGAACCAAATGACAGACTTTGAAAAAATTCCTGCTGAAGCTCATCTAGTCTGATTCCCCTGATTCTCCTTTCTGACACACCTAGAAGGCTGCTTATATTATGCCAAAAAGCATAATTAGTGATTGGGAATTCAATACATAGTTCAGAGGTGACAGCCCTAGACACTTGCCTCACACCATGGATGTTCCTTCAGCTCTGGTCACCATGAAAATGAATGAGTGTCATACACTCATAAGAGATAATTAAAGCATTGCATTTGGAGGTAGCCCAGTATGGGGTGGAAGTTGTGAGTTTCCTATGTGTGTATTTATGTGCATGGCTGATGTAGTCTGGCACCTAGCAAGGAGTTTTCCCATGGCTGCATGTGATCGTACAATCTAAGGGATTTGCTAAGACACTATATGATTTATAGCAAATCAAATTATTCAAATTATGCCGAACTAATTTTTTGTTCTGTTGGTCTTCCTTTCTTCCATACCCCGTGTGTTTCTCTTTCCAGATGGAAATGGAAGCCCTAATCATACACTGATCACAGAATTCATTCTGCTGGGACTAGGAAACCTTCATGAGCTAAGGATCCCTATGTTTGTGGTATTCCTTGCAGTCTATATAGTAATATTAACAGGGAATATAATTATCATGGCAGTTGTGTTGACTGACCACAGCCTTCATACAGCTATGTACTTCTTCCTAGGAAACCTCTCTTTCTTAGAAATATGGTACACCACCAGTGTGGTTCCAAAGATGCTGAAAACATTACTGACTGCCCATGAGGCCATTTCCTTCTCAGCTTGTCTCCTCCAGTTTTACACCTTTGGCTCTTTGGCAGTTACTGAGTGTTTTCTTCTAGCAGCAATGTCCTATGATCGCTATGTAGCCATATGCCAACCACTGCATTATGGAAACTTAATGAGCTTCAGAGTGTGCGTTCAGCTAGCAATAGGGTCGTGGATTGGTGGGTTTCTGACCCCAGTGCTCACCATAATAATGGTTTCTATGCTGCCTTTCTGTGCTTCTAATGAGATCAATCATTTTTTCTGTGATTTGGCCCCTGTCATCAAACTTGCCTGTGGAGACACACAAAAAGTGAGGTTCCCCTCTTTTCTTATCTCCATCCTTGTAACCTTCTCTCCTTTCCTTCTCACTATTATATCATACTATAAAATCGTCTCCACCATCCTCAAGATCCCATCTGCCAAAAGCAAACAGAAAGCCTTTTCCACCTGCTCCTCACATCTCATTGTGGTTACAGTGTTCTATGGGACACTGATGGTGGTGTATGGTGTACCTACAACAACTTGGTATCCCAACTTAAGCAAAGTCTTTTCTATGCTCTATACAGTGGGGACACCAATGGTTAATCCTATTATATACAGTCTGAGGAACAAGGATGTCCAGAATGCATTGAGGAAGCTTTTGACTAGAAAGCCTATATTGCCACTTGAGTGAAGAGAATGTTGCCATACCATGTGAATGTGGAGAAGCACAGATCACTGTAAATTTGTATTTAAAAATTATTGTTTCCATATCTGATATTGGGGTTTTTTTATAAAAAATGTACAGATTCTTCTGAAACATACTTATGTGCATATGTACCACCTACACACACACACACACACACACACACACACACACACACACATATCCAATCTGTGAATAAGGTATAAACATTGAAGCGTCATATACTTTCAGTGTGATGTGAATGTGTTATCAGCTGTATTCAGAGTTTAGTCATTCCCATTGATAGCCAATATGTGGAGAGTGGACACAGCCCACATCCCAGCCCTGAAATTGCGCATCTTTTTGTCCATTCCATGGATTTTTGTGCTTTCTCGTGCATTCATACTGGATCTCTAGATGAGGATATTCCTAAGTGAATGTTGTTCCACATCTCAGGAAATATTGGGTCTCAGACAGCATGGAACCATGTCTGCTCTTAAGCAGTTGGAAACTGAAAGTACAAAAAACTTACCATTGGTGGGGAGAGGCATGGAAAGAAATGGAGGAGATGGAAGGAGACTGCCCCTGCTTACGGAAAAGTCAAAGAAAACTGTTCATGATCCCTCCAGTGGGGTAATTCTTTATTTGAATATTCTGTGCATCTGGCAATTTCAGATTCTTGCAAGCAACATATGGGACAGCTGCAGAACAGTGTGAAGAGCTTTCAAACCTGGGGGAATTAACAAGCTGAGCATATATCAGATCAATATAAAGTATTGATGGGCCAAAGAGCAGTCAGGGTACTCTGGGTGGTGGCTTTATTTCAAATATTAATATTGAACAGTTTGAAGTGACAGGGTGCATAAAAACTCACTCCTTTTGAAAATAAAACATTGTCAATTCAATTCAAAATCCTTTATTAGGCATAGCACACCACACACTAACAGAAAGACATCATACACAGACTGTACAAAACACGGGCTCAGCGAACACAATTTATCCCAGACCTATTCCTGACTCCAGGAAATAAATCGATGTACATAGATAATACAATACAACACAGCGACATCACCTACCATTAAAAACCACTAAGTCTCTCCATCATGGCCCATTCTCTCTTCATGGACAGCTATAAAACATTGTCAAGGTTCATGAGTTTAATTAAAGCTTTACTTGCAGAACTTGCTTCAAAACAACAAAAACATCAAAGATGCATCCAAATATTTCCATAGAATATGCGTATTGTGCAAGTCCAGCACAGGCTCAGCATCTTAGAAATAAAATATGAAATACTTCAAACAGATCTAAAATCAGAGGTCTGTCTCTCCTTACAGTCTCCATTTTTCCTGGAGCTGTATTCACGCACTGGAGGGGTTATTTATACACCCTTACTTCCACAGAACCTGAGATCAAAGATTCAGCCACCACCCTTCCAATTTACAACTCAATACCTCTCATATGATCTAAGGTTAAAACCACCACAACAGAGCTACCAGAGAACAATAACAATACCGAATTATCAACCCATTTAGGCAGCTTAGAGAGCTCTTCTTGCTGGCTATACTCCAATGGAATTTTCCAATGTTAAACCTTTCGGCAATACATAGAGCCATTCTTATTCCAGTGTCAATTAATTAATTATACTTTACAGACCTTGTATGTGCACCCCTGCCCCATCTCTATTTTAACCCTTTGTGTGTTCGGACAAATGCATGGAAACAGCTTTTATCTTCTCATGATGGCTGCAAACCTATGATAATTACAGTTATGTAAAGGAAGAAGCTTATTCAAGCCAATGGAAGGAGCGTGTCACTGACCTCTCTGTGGCTTTCAATACATTATCCTGCCTACAGATGTTTTGAGTTAAATGCAAAGGCTCCTGTGTCTCAAATTAATCTTTATTCTTTGTATTTATTTATTTAAGCTATATTAAAGATTTTCCTGGGTTACAAAAGTACTGTATTGTCTCTATTTTCAGGTCATAGAGTCTTTTCTACAAATCAGTTACATTTGATGTGAGACATTTATGTTGTGTACCGTATAAGGTTGGGGGAGAAGAGAGGAGGGGAGCTTTATTAAATTTTAAAACACATAAAAATAAATAGAATCTTATTGCTGTCAAAACAATAGTGTATACGTCAAAGAAACAAAAGGTGGTAATTACTTAAAACAAAAACCAGTAAATCAAGAGCTCTGCAATGTGTACCATATCCCAAACACATCCATTGGGAAGATAAGCTTGTTATTCATTTCTCTTGGTATGTCAAAATAAATTACAAAGTTTATACATAAAAATTCAAACTTGCTATTCTAGATACATCGTGTGAGAAAGAAAGGAAGAGTCAGGAGGGTGGAGCTGTAATGCTAGCTTTCCAGCAGTGTTGTTGCTGGCACTTACCAGGAGCAAAAGGGGTGCAAAGAGGTTAGCATGGTGCAGGTACACAGGTGGGGCCAACCCTGTGCTCACATCACTTCAACCATACCCTGCAGACCTTGTCACCTCACTCTCCACCCTGCTGGTCAGCAGCAGCAGCAGCAGCAGCAGCGCTGTTGAAAAGCTAGTGTTGCGCCAACACCTTGTAAATTGACCTAGAAATATTTATCATGATGAGTGCATTATAATTTGAAATAATGAAAATACGAGCGCAGAATTTCAATAGGACTATGAGAATTTATCAGGGAGCTTCCAGACTTGGGTCACAAGATTGCAGGTAATGGGATTTTCAAAGCAGATTTGCAAGTTCCCTTCTCAGAAAGTGTGTCTCAAGAATGTTTAAGGAAGGCTAAAGTATTTAGGTAGACTAGAAGGAATTGGAAGATTTTACCACATCTGTAGTATAATGTGTCCTGTGGTGCTGGCATACAGTGTCTCAAGCCCTATATTGCTGCCTTTTGCTGCAGTTTACTTATAGCAAATCCAACCTCAACATTTTTTGGGGGAAATATTATCAATATTGCTGCATAGCATTTGACCAGTTTATGAAAGCCAAAGCTTTACTCAACAACATTCTTAGTGTTTCTTTAACCTCCTTATTCCTCAGACTGTATACAATGGGATTAAACATAGGAGTCAGAACAGTATACAACAAGGAAAGTATTTTGTTTAATTCTACTGACTGTGTCCCTATAGAGACTGCATATGTGATGCCCAGAGTCCCATAGAAGGAGCTTACTACAATTAGATGAGAGCTACAAGTGGAAAAGGCTTTCTTCTTTCCAGATGATGATGGAATTTTGAAAATGGTCAGTATGATAGAGACGTATGATGTGATGGTTAGAAGAAAAGGAACTAATGACACAGCAAAGCATGCTACAAAGATGGCCACTTCTGCTAGGTGGATATCAGAACAGGACAACTTCAACAAGGGTGTCAAGTCACAAAAGAAATGATCTACCTGATTGGGGCCACAAAGTGTTAAAGACGTGGATACAATGATGTTCAGCCCAGCAGCTAACAGGAAGCCCCATAACCATGTTCCAGCAGTTAATTTAAGGCAACAATTCCAATTCATTGATTTGGCATAGTGCAGTGGGTTACAGATGGCAAGATAACGATCATATGACATGAGCAACAGGAGAAAGCATTCAACAGTTCCCAGGGCACAGAAAATGTATAGCTGTATGATGCAGCCTGTCAATGAAATGGTCTTGTCCTTTCTCAGTAAATCCACCAACATTTTGGGGGTAATGTTTGAGGTATACCAGAGTTCCAAGAATGATAAATTGCCAATAAAGAAATACATGGGAGTGTGAAGTTTCTTATCAACTGATACAGATATTAAAATAAGAAAATTCCCGACCATTGTTATTCCATAAATTCCTAAAAACAGTGGAAAAATAAAAAACTGAAGTTCCTGGAGGTCCCCAAATCCATGGAGAATTAATAGATTCATTGTTGTACTATTTTGCTGCATAAAAATTTCCATCAGGTAATCCTAATTATGGGAGGAAGAAGTATTTTAAACAATAATGCAGAAATGTTTAATCACAAAATTATGTGTCAAAGTAGACTGTTCACCATTGTGAAAAATGCAAATATGACAGCCTTGTGGCACCTCACTCAATACCAAGAAATTTATTATGGAATAAGTTTTTAAAATCTGTTGGCATTTAAGATGCCAGAAGACTGCAGGTTTTGCTGCAAGGGACTAATACAGCTACGCTTTTGGAAACAGCCATTTAAAAAACCTCCAAAAGATAGTTTGCTGAATCATGGGGTGTGAATTCATTTTTGTGTTTGCTGTTAAGTATTCATTTTCCCTTGTTTCCTTGTATGAAATGATGTATGAAATTTTGTTATGGGTTGTGACTGAAACAATTACATTTGAAGTGAAGAGAGTGGATAAGGGATATGTAACAAACCTTACCTTTTCTGTCTAGTTTTCTCAACCGGCTTCTGCACATTTGGGCTTTTCTTCTGATGTGTCTCATTCAAATGATTATATCTGGGTATCTTCTGGATTTTGGGAGGGGGGGAGTGAAGGATTCTTAAGTCACACTTTTGTCATATTTGTCCATCTCACTCAAATATGACTCAAGCCATGACTTTCCATCTCAGAAATGGCTTTTAAGAATCTTCCTTCATACCCTACCTACACTCCTGATATTTGTTCCTGTTGTCTGGGTGGTTTTATCTAAACGCCTTTAATTCTTTTAAATTCTGTCATTCAGTTTGCACATCTTTTATTCTCTGTTTTTTTTTAAAAAAAGCAAGATTCACCAGAGATTATTTCTGTAGAGACAGAAGAAATATTAATAACAAGGCACTAGAGAATATAGTCTGTAACTAGTTTAATGATGAGGTTTGAGAGCTAATATGAGTAAGGGACAGTGTGCTGAAATTATATTTCAGAAACATGGCTATATCAGTCATTCCCAGTGTGTGGTCAATCATTATGTTGCATTCAGTTTCCATTTAAATAAGTGCGGCTTTTCAAGCTAAATATGACTAATTAAGGTGGCAATCCTATAATCCATTACATGGGAAAAGGAAAGAACAAATCTCTCTACAGTGGTACCTCGGGTTACATACGCTTCAGGTTACATACGCTTCAGGTTGCAGACTCCGCTAACCCAGAAATATTACCTTGGGTTAAGAACTTTGCTTCAGGATGAGAACAGAAATCGAGAACAGAAATCGCGGCAGCAGAGGGAGGCCCCATTAGCTAAAGTGGTGCTTCAGATTAAGAACACTTTCAGGTTAAGAACGGACCTCTGGAACAAATTAAGTACGTAACCGGAGGTACCACTGTATTTTTATTTCCTTGTGTGTCTCATCCTTCCAATCTTTGCTACTGTCCACCCTATTCTACAATTACTAATTACCCTCTCCCACTCATTTAAATAGCATTAGTATATTATTATCGTGCTCAGATGAGCAGGTATCAAATAAATCCAAACACTAGAAAAAGCCAGCATACCTAAGACGAGGGGCTCAGTGTGAATGAACATGTCAAGTGATGTCCCAGCTAGAAAAGCAAAAGTGAAGTTGCAGATGACCAGAAACCTGACTGTAGGACATGATGATGGAGTCTTCATTTTATTCCAGTGTGGTTCCATCATTCAACCTGACATCCCAAAGTCAACTATTTTACCAACCCTACTTTATTAATACTTCATTAACACTTGTGTCACTAGAAAACTGATTAAAAGCAACATACCACAAAAGTGAGCAGATTGCAGGAATTACATATTTGGATGAATGAATGGAGTTATTAACATGCAAAATCAGCCAATCCTTTTTCCAGTTAACAGGTTCTTTGTGTTGAGATCAGCCCTGAAAACAATGGTGTAACACTTGGGGAAGAAGATGCAAGCCAACAGCCCGGTATTGGAGGCCAAGATGGCAAAAAGCTCCACAGCCACAATATGTTTTCCCTTGGTGCTCAGATAACCAGGAATAAAGGAGATCCAAACACTGCAAAACACCAACATGCTGAAGGTGATAAACTTGGCTTCATTGAAGGTGTCAGGCAAGCTTCTGGCTAAGAAAGCTACAATGAAGCTGAAGAGGGCCAGGAAGCCAATATAGCCCAAGACACAGTAGAACATGGTGATGGAACCTTCATTGCATTCCAGTATGATCTTCCCAGTCTGTGAGTACATGTCAACATCTGGGAATGGTGGAGAGGTCAACAACCATGCAATACAAAAACACACTTGTTTGAGGGAGCAGGAAAGAACAATGGAAATAGCCACTTTTTGGCCCAGCCATGTTCTCATCCTATTGCCTGGCTTTGTGGCCAAGAAGGCCAGGACTACAAGGATTGTTTTTGCCAACACGCAAGAAACTGCCACAGAGAAAATGATACCAAAAGTCATTTGTCGGAGAAGGCAGGACACCTTCTCAGGTTTGCCAATGAAGAGCAAACAAGAAAGATAGCACAACAGGATGGCAATGAGAAGAACACAGCTGAGGTTCTGGTTGTTGGCTTTAACAATGGGTGTGTTCCAATTCTTCACGAATGTTTGTAACACAAAACAAGTGATCACAGCAAAGGAAAGAGCAACACTAACCAAAACAAAACCCAAGGGCTCTTGATAAGATAGGAAAGATATAACCTTAGGGATACACTGGTCATGGTTCTCGTTTGGATAGTGATCTTCTGGGCACTTGATACAATAAGCTGCATCTGCAATATAATATATATACAATATATGCACACAATTAGTGTTGGCCAAAATTGTCTCAACACATTTATTTCCCTTTAGTCCATTTATTCCCAGAAATATCTGTTCTGCCCCCCCTGCCCCCGTTTCAATTATTTAGTGATAGCATATCAGTATATTAGTATCAGTAAAAGGAATAATGTTGTCCCTTTAAGGAAAGGTAGTGCCTTTCCCCAAAGTAGGCTGGGAAATGAAGGCACAGGAGTATTTTATTTTCTATTCGCTCTGCCCAGAGCGGAAAAACCTCCTTCTGTCCTTTACAACCTAGTTCAGTTTAGTTCTTGCGAGCCCAGGAAGAGAGGCAAATTCACTTGTTCTTAAAAAACTCCATTAAAAACTCCATAGAAAACACCACAAAGAACTTCATGGAGAGTTTCCTAACTTCATTCATTCAAAGCAAAAGAACATCATACACTCGAATGTGAGTAAATATCTCTACGTGTGCCTTGTGAACTTCAGTAAAATGCCTGCTCTAGAGGTTTGTGGAGTTTTGTTTATAATATCCAGATTGAGAGAAGCCTCAGGATGGAACAATGCCTATTTTGAAAGCAATGGCTCTAACCCAGGCTTCCTCAACCTCAGCCCTCCAGATGTTTTGAGACTACAATTCCAATCATCCCTGATCACTGGTCCTGCTAGCTAGAGATCATGGGAGTTGTAGGCCAAAAACATCTGGAGAGCCGAGGTTGAGGCAGTCTGCTCTAACCCCTCAATCCTTTAAAATCATGAATTTCTTGGGGTCCTCCTGATCAGGATTAGGATTACACTGTACAAGGAGCAGTTTTTAACCCTTTTGTTGCTGTGCTGTGCTCCATACAAAGTATGCAGCAATCTGCAACACATTTCCCTGTGCATATCTTTATATTGCTACATACCCTTCTTGTTAGAAATCATGCTTTCTGAGCATGGAGTGCAGTCATAGCAACAGGCTGGTTTTCCTTCTTGAACTATTTTGCTGTGTCCAGTATGGCAGCTTTTGACACATGTAGACCGTGGTGGTATCTGTTCATAAAAATATATCATTATCAATCTTTATTAAGGTCCAGAGACCCAACAAATCGTTACAAAGCAATGCACAATTCAGACAGCCTACCTCCAGGTTAAACAAGCATTAAGAAATGCATACCTGTACTGATTTACCTTGCAGTTCATTGAGAAAGTAAGAAGGTGTGTCTATCAAAAGGGTAAAAACGTAAAAGGTAAAGGACCTCTGGACAGTTAAGTCCAGTCAAAGGCGATTATGGGGTGCGGTGCTCATCTCACTTTTTAGGCTGAGGGGGCCGCTGTTTGTCCACAGACAGCTTTCTGGGCCATGTGGCCAGCATGACTATACCACTTCTGGTGCAACAGGGCAATATGATGAGTGCCAGAGTGCTCACAAATGCTGTTTACCTTCCCACTGCAGTGGTACCTATTAATCTACTTGCACTGGTATGTTTTGTGACTACTAGATTGGCAGAAGCTGAGGTCACCACCGTTGCACAGATTTGAACCGCTGACCTTCCGATCAGCAAGCCCTAGAGGCTCAGTGGTTTAGACCACAGTGCCACCTGCGTCCCTTCAGGCAAAAGTGTATGTGACTAATAGCACAGAATCAGATGGATCCCACAGGAACTTAAGTGTGTGACATTTGTTTTCCAGCTCTATGCCTCAAACAATACCAGTTTGGGAAACTCTGCCCAATTTCCTCCCTGGCTGAGTTGTGACATATGTGAGTCAGGCTTATGAATTAAAGCCTTGCTGAGACAAAGGTGTGTGTGTGTGTGTGTGTGTGTGTGAGAGAGAGAGAGAGAGAGAGAGAGAGAGAGAGAGAGAATCAGTCAATGACAGCAGGGCTTAAGCTGTCATAGTCTAGGCTTCTTCTTCTTTTACAGTCATGGTACAAACTAAGGAAGTACAGTGTTCCATTAGGCCTATGCCCCAGCTCTGCCCCTAGGAGTCAGTCATGGGTGCTGATTGTCTTCCGGGGTCATCAGAGACTCAAATACTGCCAGCACCACTGGCCAAGGTCCAAAACAATTCCCTGCCACCTGCCTTGCATAGAATTCAACATGGTCTGTTGCAGAGAAACACCTTATCTGAACTTACCTAGATATAGTGCACCAGTCTATGATCATTCAAGACAAATGATGGACTGAAGGTTTCACATCAGCAATGCAGATAACCAAGAGTAGCACCATTCTATTAAGATATGGAACATGTCCCTACCTCCTTTAATCTTCTATTCCACACAATGGCATCATTGATAATGCTGAACATTTGACCTGATGAAACTCTTCCAACCCTGACTTTTTGGTAGGACTGATTGGGGAAAGTGACCCAGTTGATGATATCATATCCAATGCTCAATTCTTTGTTCTCAAACAAGACTTCTTGGGCAGCTCCATTGTTAAAGTGGATGTTTTCCAGGAAAGGATGGAGCTAGTTTTGGAGACAATGCAATAAATTTTATAAAATGGAACACATTGTTTCTGCCTGTTCAATTCTGCAATGTACAAGCATTTTAAAACTGGACCCAAAGTACAAATTCAGAAGATTTCTATCATTTTACCTCCACAAAAAAGGGGAATAGCAATGTGAATTAGTTGTGTAACTTGATTGGGAGAAACTACAACAATTATTATCAACTGGAGTGAATCTTCTTACTCTCATCCATTCAGACATCTACAAACTACTGTTAACATAAACATGGAAATAATATTTTCCTCAGTTCCCTATCAACTTACAACCTCTCAGTTTGAATTCATTGGTATCAGTTATTTGGTTTTATTTTATTTATAAAAGTAAGGTAGTCACCTTGGCCTACAAAAGCAAATCCAAAATTGATAGAAAGGCAGCTAAAATGTCACAAAATAGTTAGCAAATTCCATATTCTCCATTTATTTTTCATTGGGTTGAGGAGGAAGAAAAATATATTCTACCCCCCCCCAATACTTTACTTAACATCTTAAGAGAATTTCCCCACAACAATTTGCTAAACAGAAAAAAATAGACACATAACCCTCAGCAGCTTCCGACAACCACACAAGGACATTCCCTGGAGTAGGGAGCCAAAATTGGATGCCATTGTGGATGCCATTGAACCCAAAAGTATGTCCTCTAATACCCATGGAAACCATTTTGTGACTGGTGGCCAAGACTCATTCTCAAAATTCAAAATATGCCCATTATCCCATGATGTATAGTCAAATTCCATCCTCAGAGTGATTTATTTACCTTCCATGGGTGAAAATTCACATGTTCCACTTTGCCTTTATCCAACATTATTCTTTGTCTGGAAAAATATGCAGCATGCAAAGCATGTGCCACAGCATAGACCGCATTGTAGATACCGTGGCTCTCACCAGACATATCCATCTCAAAAACATTTGAATGAAGATCCTCCAGATTCTCCACTCCTCTACAGCTTTCACATTTATTTATTAGAAATTGCCAGACCAAACAGAGGAATGTCCTTAGTGTTTTATCAAACTTTATGTTCAGAAGAAATTCCTGGAATCCTGACACCACATTTGTGTGGACTGAGAAAGAAAAGGCACCAAATAAAATGTCCCTGCCAATCAATTCTCCATTGGGAGAGGTACTGAAATACCACTGAGGTGGCATGATCCAGACCTTCCCTATTAGGACTTTCTTCTTTAATTCAATGCCTTCTAAGGACAACACTAATATATGGAATAAGAGAGAGTCCATTGCAAGAATAATCACATTGGCATGAGTTAAAATAAGTGTTTGTGCCATCACTATAATTCTTTTAATGTTATGTTTAAGAGCAAGGTCATTTCCTGTACCCTTTTGCAAGAAGGCAACACATATGTTGTTCTGGGCAAACAAAGGAGTCAGTTTCTGCACGAAGTTTTCCCCAGCATCATCATCAGATACAACCAGGCCAATCCATGTCCATTTGAAATGCCAGAGTAGCTGGATGATCCCCATATGGTATGTAGTTTCCCTTGGCGCCATCCAGTACAAAAAAGGGAAATCACTTTTCCCACTTACTGCAGCCTCAAATGAACCAAAAGTGAGCTAAGAAACAGAGGTATATGATTTTAAAACTCTAAAGAATAATAATAATAATAAATCCACTCTGCCATTATAGGAAACTGCACCAAAAGCTAACAATCTGGAGATTATCTATTATATTTAGTATTTCTTATGCTTCTTGACAAATAGCCGAATGTATTTGTTGTAGGGTCCCATAAACATACTAGCTTCTTTATTTTTTTATTCTTCATGTGTAAAACGAATGGGTTTTAGCCATACTCAGAGTAGATCTATTGAAATAAATGAAATAATGAAAGTCCATTGGTTAAATGGCTCTACTCTAACCAATATAAACATATATAAATGTAAGAATAATTTTCTTTATACTCCCCCCCAAAAAAATCTGGCTGGCTTGTGCCAGCCACTCTGGGTGGCTTCCAACACACACACACACACACACACACACACACACACACACACCTTAATAAAACATGAAACATTAAAAAAATTCCCAATACACGGCTGCCTTAAGATTTCTTCTAAAAGTTGTGTGGTTCTTAATCTCCCTGACTTCTGGTGGGAAGGCATTCCACAGGGTGAGTGCTATATACTGATCCCAAATAAAGGCTGCATTTTAAATAAATAAATAAATAAATAAATAAATAATAAAGGTAGCATTTCTCTATTTGATAAATCTAAGCATTGAATATTCTACAACATTTGTATTTTGTACGTATGTCAATAGTTGTTTTTTACTTTATTTATTTATCTCTAGATTGCTCCTGAAGAAGAAACTGCAGTTCTCAAAGACATTCAGCTTCAATAAGTATTAATAATTGGCACTTTTGAGAACCAACTACTCCTTTCTTCAATTTTATTTATAATAAAGGGAAAATTGAAAGAATATAATTGAACAGCAAATGGACACCATTCATTTCATTTTCATTTATTATATTTCTATGCTGCTTTTCACTCACATGAGTCACAAAGCAGTTTACATACAATAAATAATAACAGAGTAGAACATCACAATTGCAACATAAATGATATAAAACAATTGACAAATTATAAATAAAATAAGCACTTCTATAAAACACTATTAACAGAACCACTTTAAAAATAGATTGAACAGATAAAACAACCACAAGAAAAGTCATATTATAACATTCACAAAGCATTACAGCACTTATAATTGACAAAACAATGTTTACAACACTAACATACTAACAATGAAAAGCAAACTAAACACTGCTGAATTCATTCATATATATATTGATATGCATATACCTGTGGAAACTTGTAGTTACTTAAGATGATGGCCATCTGCATAGAGTGTTCTGAACTGAATCCCCCAATAACAGACAATACATCTTTTCTGTCACACTTGTAATTGGGCATATTCTTTCTCTGCTTGAAAAGTAGATCCAGGATGACCTTGTATGTTCTTATGGAGTTAAATAGGTTGTCATAGATATTGAACCCCAGTGTGATGTTGGGCAGGAGCCCTGGGTTATCATTGATTTCATGGATGGCAAAAATCAAGGCAAAGACATGTTGATAACGTTTCAACTTTACGCTGCAATGAGGTGGACAGTGAGACTTAGAAACATCAATTAGAGAGAACATAAATTGCCATTAGTAGCACAGGTATAAAAGAAGAGCTGTCAGACCTCCTGCTCCTAAAAGCAAAGCCAAACAAAACAAAACAAAACAAAACAAAACACTCTAGTTTCATAAATGAGGGTTAAGATCAGAAAATAAGTGTGAGTCAGGGGAATGTATTTTGAATCAGCATGTGTGAGTAGAGTTGTTCAATGGAGGGGAAGGGGGAGAATATTTCATTCTAAATCTGGGGCAGATGCAACCAAAATTCAGCACTCTGTCCTTGGGATCAGCTGGAGTTAAAATTTGTAACAGAAGATTTGTTACAGTAGATGTGGAACTCTCACACTGAGATGGGGGGGGAGTGGGGCTGGGCAGGATACTTTCTTCATGAACCCTGCACTGCTTTCTCTCTCCCACCCCGGTCCCATGCTTATTATGTTTATCATATACAGTCATACCTCGGGTTACAGACGCTTCGGGTTGCGTGATTTTGGGTTGCGCACCGCGCCAAACCCGGAACCACCAGAACGGGTAACTTCTGGGTTTTGGCACATGCGCAGAAGCACCAAATCGTGCTTTGCACATGCACAGATGTGCCAAATCGCAACCTGTGCGTGCGCAGACGCAGCGCTGTGGGTTGCGGACGTGCTTCCTGCATGGATCATGTTCACAACCCGAGTGTCCACTGTAGTAGGATTACAGTGAACAGGCTCCTCTTCCATTTCTTTAGGAAAACAAGGGGTGGGCTTTTGATCTATAGTTTAATGTGTTTGAGTGGGTAGCTCTTCAAAGATCTTTGGCAGCTTCTGGACCTTTAATAAATCTATTACAAGAACAAATTTTAATGCTACAGCTTTCCCATTAACTTCAGTAATACAATATGAAAAGCACTTCTTGAAGTTCAGCAGTTTAAATTGATAACAAATCTAATACCATCTGGCAAAACTGATTACTAGTAACTACTGTACAAATCTTACACAGCACCATCATGATTGCTATCAGGAACAGCTGTAAAATTGAGTGAATACTCCAAAGGTTGTATTAGAGAAAGAACGCCACCAATGATTACTTCTCCAGGCTTATACAAATGCTCTTGGATATTTCTGCATTTTCCTGTCATTTCCGTACAGGCAAAAGGAGGGAGCTGCAGCTGCAACAATAATAGCAACAGCAAGTGCCTGCATGTAAAAACATGCCTACCCATGCTACACTTGCATAACATAATGTTTCACCACACTCACAGCAGTAGCAGTAGATAGTACATTTATCCCTATCCTTCTTGCACAGACCACCCACCCTGTGTGTCACACTGGAACCAGTTCTCATTTGAGCTCAAAATTTAGACTCCTTATTATAAAAAATCTTATTGTTCTTGTTGTTGCAGACTAAGGAAATGAATAATAGTGCTTTTCATAATTGTTGAGTAGATAAATACCTCCCTGGTGTCATATATCCTCTGTTCGTTGGAAATAGAGAAAATGTCACCTGCTTCACAGTGAGGTTGCCTGAGCACAATTGCTTTCATTTACAATATTTAGACCAGGGATAGGGAGCCTATAATCTTCCAGATGTTGTTTTCCTACAGCTGCCTACCTACCATCATCCCTGACTACTAGCCATGCTGGCTGTGGTTGTTGGAAGGAGAAAATGTTATTCTGCAGGAGAAAAGATTGTCTATCCCTTATTTAGGGAGAAATCCTGGGTAGATCACCCCATTTATGCAGGCTGGGAACAGAATGGTTTCTTCTAAATGTCTAGAAAATTTCCTCACGTTTGGAATGAAATTAACCATTGTTTTTGTACATATATGGCATGCCATCAAAACCAGAGGTTTCCTTTAATTCCAATGCCCATAAAGATAAACCAGTGGGAGAAATCATAGTGGGTGAATGGCAACGGTAAAATACATAAGAAGGAAGAGGTGCTCATAAAAGCTTACTACAACTTTTGACAGCCCTCTTCGAGACCAAACGTCCCTTTGTGTATAGTCAGGAAAGTTGTTAAAGCACCCTTTCCAGCTGTGTAGAACCAAATGTTGGAAATGTCCTGGAAGGCCAGTAAACACCACTTTTATACTCAATATAAGCCTGGGACTAATTGGTATCTGCTGTGGGAATCATAGAATTGTAGAGATGGAAGGGACCATAAGGGTCATCTAGTTCAACCCCCCCCCCTGCAATGCAGGAATCTTTTGCCCAACATGGGGCTCAAACCCACAACCCTGACATTAACAATCTCGTGCTCTACTGATGGAGCTATCTTCTCCTAGACGTGCATATATTTATCTGCTTGCTTTGATATATCATTTTTGGTTTGCTTTGATGCTATGCTGAGAGGCACAGACAATACCTATAAAGGCATGTGCCCCATCCTAAGCTGGCCACAACAACCCAGACATGGAGTTGCTTGGCTGGCAGAAACAGACTGTTACAAATATTAATATTGCACAGTTTGAAGTGACTGGATGCATGAAAACTGACTCCTTTTGGAAATGAAACATTGTCCAGACCCATGAAAATCTTATTCAAATTTTACTAGCAGAACTCTTCAGAAACAAAACAGAGTACAGTAAATTATACATCCAAAACACCCTTACAATGTCTTGTGCTTCCAGCACAGGCTCAGCAGCTTTTGAAATATGAAATAATTCCAGCAGACCTAGGAACAAAGGTCTGTCTCTTCCCAAAACATCCATTTTAGCCTAGGTATGTTTTCTCCTCTCTGAGTCAGAGAGGGTCTTTTGCATGTCCTGACTTCACAAAGCCTTGAGACAAAAGACACAAAAGCAACTACATTCAAAATGAAGACTTGCAACCCAATACCTTCATCACATTATCTAAGGTTACAACACTCACATATTAGTTTCCAGAAAACAGCAATCATTAACTCAGCAAGAGCTCAGGGTGCTCTCCTTGGCTTTAATATAGCCCTATAAAAAATCCCCATCTTAAACTTTTTCACCAATACATATTTTGGCATTCTCATTTCCATGTCAATTAAACCACTATCCTTTACACAGACTTGACCCTTCTCTCTCTTATCCCTTCATCTTTTTCCATACCCTATTCCCTCCCCTAATCTGCACAATTCGGTAATTTAACTATTTTCTGCAACCCTAATAGCCATAGGATCATTTTCAGGAAAGTGGCACTGTTGAAAAGCAAAAGGTTAATAACCTTCCCCACCCCAAACTTCCCTCCACAGCAGCATTATGAATCAGACAATTTCCAAAGCCCATTTGCTGCATATGGTGGTATTTGTTGAGATGAGGTGAGGGGTACCCCCCCCTTTTCAGCAAGTAAACTTATAATAAAGTCTCATTTACATGAATTGGACTATCTCCCCTAATATCAGTGCACCCAAGTTAGCCCTTTACTTCCCAGCTGCAACACTTAAGAAAATCACTCACATTTTACAGCCAAATTTTCATGTGGGGTGGGGCAGAGGTTTGGAGACCATGGGCCAGATTGGAAGGTACCATTGTTCTAACATGGCCCTTGAAACATCCTCACCACTGGTCTATACACGTTTGTGATATACTTTTTATGCCCTTTTTGAATTGCATGACTCATGTGGGGTGGGGTTCAACCCCAGTGCAATGAACTTCTAATTGTGTCCTTCACCTCTTTATTTCTTAGTGTATAGATGAAAGGATTCAGCAATGGAGTCACAACTGTGTTCAAGATGTTGACCATTTTGTTCATATCTGAAGACATATTAGATAGTTTGACATAAAGAAAGATAGTGGATCCATACCAAATGAGCACTACAGCAAGATGGGAGGAACAGGTGGAGAAAGCCTTTTGCTTTCTTTGTGCAGAAGGAATGTGCAGGATGGTATTGATAATGAATATATAGGAAAGAAAGGTGATCACACAGGGACACACAATGACAAAAATGGATATAACAAAAGCTGCTATCTCAACCTCAGAGGTGCTGGTGCATGAAATAGCTATCCATGAATCAATGTTGCAGCAGAAGTGATTGATCACATTAGGACCACAGAAAGTCAACCTTGAGATCAAGATGGCTGGTATAAGAATAATGAGGAATGCACACAGCCAAGAGCCAGCTGCCAGCTGCAAAGAAAGCTGGCTATCCATGATACTGCTGTAACACAAAGGGTAACATATGGCCAAATATCGGTCATAAGCCATGACAGACAAGAGGAAGTATTCTGTGGACCCTAAGGCAAACACAAAGTAAAACTGAATGATGCAGTTTGTGAAAGAAATGCTTCTGCCCCTCCCCAGAAAGATGGCAAGACTCTTAGGGATAGAAGCTGTTGTGTACCATATTTCTAGGAAGGAGAGATTACATAGGAAGAAGTACATGGGAGTATGGAGACGACGATTTGCTATTACCAGAATGATGATGGCCATATTTCCCAGCAGTGCCATCACATACATGATAAGAAAGAGCATGAAGATGGACATCTGTAAATACTGAGATCCCGGGAAGCCAAGAAGAATGAATTCCATCAAATTCGTTCCATTTCTTTCTTTATTCTTCTCTTCCATAATTTTAACTGCTGGGTGGGGGGGAATCACCCAATTAACACATTGATAATTCACCAAGGATGTGATGAGGAGTATGCAGACAGAAAAGAGCTACATGACTTGAGACCTTCTGAAGGATCACCTATTGCAATATATGTCTCTTCCTACACTTTGGTCAGATGCAGAAGCCCTCATCTGGATGATCTTATCATCTAAAGTAAAGTGGGTTGCTGGGGTGAAAAGGCTCTTCTTGGTTGTGGTGCTAATAGGATACTTGCCCAACACCCTTACTGATTTATTTATTTATTTGTTTGTTACTTATTTACATTTCCTCCTCTAAACCACATTTCATCTTTCCAAGATCACAGAGTGACTTCCAGTATTCATATTAAAAGAGCAATAAATCAACAATAAAAGAACCAATTTAAGCCATTTAAACAGTATTTAAAACAACTGTTTAAAAAGTAGAGTTATTTACTATTTGCCATTTCATTTGTTTGTATCAATATGCCCAAAGTACCACTTTGAATACACAAAGATTTCCATCTACCCATCCACATATACTCTTCTCCCACTTTTACCACTTACCTTTTTCAATTACTATATACAGGTGTATATATGGATTTCTTCTCTTATTCATTCTACCTACACATTGGAAAACTTGGATAGGGGTGTCCTCTTAAACACATGCTTATAACTGAAATGCAGGTAGCTGAATAATTAAAATTGATATTAAAAAAAACCCAACAAGATTCCTTTGAGATTTCTTCTCAATTCTGAAAATGTGTTCTAACAGTTCTTACACAACTAAACCAGGGGGGGGGGATCCCTGAAGTCACTTAAAACTTTTTGTATTCTATTATCCCTATGGATTTATATTGCTAGGCTCCCACAGATCCTTCACTACAGAGAATAAAACAGAGGACCATGACAACACCATGGGATCTGAGATCTAGATAGGTGAATAATGAATATTTATCTCATTAACATCATAGCCACCTTGAGATTTCACCTTGGCTTTCTAGGATTGGGGAAAAGTACCAAAGGTCACTTAGTTTTTTGTTTTTTGTTTTGTTCTGTTCTCTTGATGTTTTATTTGTTGTTATCTTTATCTAGATCTCTCAATATAGAAATTCTAAAAGAGGTCAAGAAAAAGACTGCAGGATATGAAGGAGAGATGTGGCCAATTATAACTAATATGTCACCAATGGGTAAATCATACCCAACAGAGCGGTCATTTCTTTAATAGTCCTTGATAATTCAATTAGCGTGAATTGTATTGAATTTCTTGGTGCACCTTTTGGAACTCTTATATTCCTAACTTCCCAGTTCAGTTTGCTTCCTTCATTTAATTATCACAACTTTTCAGGCACACTGCCACTGCACGGTCATGTTAGTAATCCTTCTACTTCTTTGGCTTCAGCCAATCAATTAAAAAGATGGAATGTCAACATCTTTTACATCCAATTTACTGTAAATGCCTTTCTCTTTCCAAGTACCTAACACAAAGGATGCTGGGAAGAAGGGTAAGAAGAGGCATATAAGAGATAAATCCATAATGAACCTTTGTATAATTTCAAAATGAGGAGGGAGAGAGAGCCCTGGTCCACACCCTTCTCTAGTACATTTGCAAACTTGGAATATGCCTTTGGACTGGGATAATAGTTCCTTCCTACTTGGATGAAGGGAGGTGGTGTATGTCAAAACTACTGTCCGGACATATTTACCTATATTTACCCACTAGTTCAGTTCACAGTTCAATTTAAGTTCATCCTAATGATCCTCAACATTTTCTTCCATCATTCGGAATATTACAAGCAGTGTCAAACATACCTGAGAAGATGGTAAGAAGAAGAAAACTCTCACACAGTTGAATGCCAATTACTTAATTTATTTCCCCCAACAATTATGATCTTCAATCATCCAGCAGAGTTTCTCCCTTTAGAGTTTCAGGCCTCTTGTGACTGATCTACATTTATTTGTATGCACAAGCCCTCCTAACCTTGTAGAATAAAGCTTTTCTCTCTCTGTTATACATTGGTTATTTGGAATTCAGTTTACTTCACTGAAGACTAATGTAATTTTGGATGAGAATGGTATAAGAAAACTGGCCAGTGTCAGAAGCAAAAATGGCCAACACTTCCACTATCTCAGTATATTCCCTTTTTTGGTGATCATGAATTTGGTTAGAAAAGACATACAAACACTATAAAACACCAGAATCTAGCCATCTAACTATGACAGCTGCTGTAAAAGTACAACTTGGTCCAACTGGCTTAAACTTAAAATTAGTAGCCAATATTAAGCCACAAAGTTAATTTCCTGCAGTAAACAATAGTATAAAGGTATATGAAATGTACATATAACAAAATAGAATAAAGAAACACCCCATGTTCAATTATTCCTTTTCTTGGTTAGCAGCTTCTTGGTATTGAGCTCAGCCCTGAAAACAATGACGTAACACTTGGGGAAGAAAATGCAAGCCAACAGCCCGGTATTGGAGGCCAAGATAGCAAAAAGCTCCACAGCCACAATGTGTTTCCCCTTGGTGCTCAGATAACCAGGAATAAATGAGATCCAAACACTGCAAAACACCAACATGCTGAAGGTGATAAACTTGGCTTCATTGAAGGTGTCTGGCAAGCTTCTGGCTAAGAAAGCTACAATGAAGCTGAAGAGGGCCAGGAAGCCAATGTAGCCCAAGACACAGTAGAACATGGTGATGGAACCTTCATTGCATTCCAGTATGATCTTCCCAGTCTGTGAGTGCATGTCAACATCTGGGAATGGTGGAGAGGTCAACAACCATGCAATACAAATACAGACTTGTTTGAGGGAGCAAGAAAGAACAATGGAAATAGCCACTTTTTGGCCCAGCCATGTCCTGATTCTGTTGCCTGGCTTTGTGGCCAAGAAGGCCAGGATCACAAGGATTGTTTTTGCCAACACGCAAGAAACAGCCACAGAGAAAATGATGCCAAAAGTCATTTGTCGGAGAAGGCAGGACACCTTCCCAGGTTTGCCAATAAAGAGCAAACAAGAAAGATAGCATAACAGGATGGAAATGAGAAGAACACAACTGAGGTTCTGGTTGTTGGCTTTGACAATGGGCGTGTTCCAATTCTTTAGGAAGGTTTGTGTCACAAAACAAGTGATCACAGCAAAGGAAAGAGCAACACTAACCAAAACAATCCCCAAGGGCTCTTGATAGGATAGGAAAGATATAACCTTAGGAATACACTGGTCATGGTTCTCATTTGGATAGTGATATTCTGGGCACATGATACAATGAACTGCATCTGAAAGTGATAAAGCAGATATATCATATAAAATACATTCCTTGTTTATGTGAAAGTGTTGAAATATTGTAATACATAATTACTGGTAATGAAAACATCTCAATCCACTTATTTAAATGGAGATATCTTGGATATATATTGAATATAAAACAATTTTTAATGAAATTCTCTTCTCTTCAAACCTGGGATAGAATTATTTATTATTATTATTACTACTACTATTTGCAGGAGGGCTATATTCAGCAAAGTACCTCAGGGTGACCCAAAGCAATGGTCAGTAAAAAATAAAATTATTAATAAAGAAAAAATCCTCCCAGCTGCATGTTAATTAAACATAACCCTCCCTGAACCTTTGAGTAACTGAATGAAGGATGGGTTTGGTGGTCCCCATATTGGTCCAGGGTGGATTGCCCTGAATTGGAACCCTAGTTTTGCTGCCACTGGGTAGCCTTACATACTATAGATCTGTATTAAGAATATTTTCACTATATTGGGAAATCTGCAGTTCTCTGCATGACTACATAAAATACATAAATGCTGACTTGGAAAAAAACTGCATCCCGCAGTTTCTTGAGGACCTGATTAGGATTAAGAAATCTGCTCCACTTCCTAGTGGGGAGGAGTTGCAATGGACTGCGTGGCCACCCACTCCCCTCCGGGGTCGTGGGACTTTGTCCCCTGTTGCCCGGGGGATCCCGGCCACGTCAGAGCCCGGCCAGCCAATCCGTTGGCCAGGGGGGCGTGGCCAGGTCTGTTTAAGCAGAGGCGCGAGCCAGAGGGCTTCCTCTTTGACTTGCTTCCTCAATCCAGTCGGATGTCGCTGTCTCCGCTCCTCCATTGTTCTCTTGGGCTTGCCCGCTGAAAGCGCTTTGGGATTTTTGCTGCTTGCCTGCTGCTGCTGAGCCGTGTGTGCTGCTTCACCTCTACAGATCAACAGCCGGCTGCCAAATTACTCAGGAGCAGTGCAGAGGGGTGCGGATTGGTTTTTTGGGCTCCCTGTAGCCTGCCCATGCTCCAGTGCCCAGGTTGGTGATTGGGTAAGTCGGACTAGGTCCAGGGGGAGTGGATTGTTTCTTCTTTGCCTTACTAATTGGGTTGGGAACGTCTTGCCCGCGGAGCCCCAGTCGGCTCTGTTTTGTTAGCGGCACCTACCTGGAGTCCGGCTGCTCAGCTCAGCCAGCTTTGCATTGAATGCACAAGGCTTTCCAGCAACCATGTGCTGTGTTTGTTTTTCCCTTGCCTTGGGGTCCTTCCAGCGGCAACAGTTGCCCCTTGGGGTCCTTCCGGCGGCAACGGTGGCCATCACCTGCCCCTCCAAGCTTTAGGGTATTCCGTTAAAGGAATCTGGGGGTGTTGATCTTGTCCGAAGCCCGGGTTGGGGGCTAGGGCCATGACACAACTCCGATGGGAACACCAGGGGGAGCTCGTGTTGGTATGCATCGACAGGGCTCCCCCTTCCGGTGGTTTACCCTTACCGGACTTCCTGCACATTGGGCAGAAATCAGATATAGTCGGGGCCATACAATGCCTAAGCCAATACCGCTCACATGCTGTAATCAATAAAGTTTTGGCCAAATTTGCCCAATAACATTAACCTAATATCCGTGTCCTTGTGTGTGTTATTTCTCAACGAGGGAGTGGCTTTGGGGTCTTGACACGCAATACACCACACAAAGAGAAATTTTCCTACTGCACTTTGGTCTTGACAAGATATAAAACATGGAACTCTTTTGAAAATTTCCCTGTACATATTTGTGTACTGCCACATACCTTTCTCATTAGAAATCATGTATTCTGGGCACGGAGAGCAGTCATAGCAACAGGCTGGTTTCCCTTCTTGAATTACCTTGCTGTGCCCAATATTGCAGCTTTCAACACATATGGAAGGAGGTGGCATCTATTCAGAAAAAAAATACATGACCATACTTACCTCAGGAACCCTGCCCTTCCACATGAAACAGTCCACCACTTACATTCATCTTCAAAGGCCCAACCTTATGTCCTGTCCTTGTATGAAAACATAGAATGGTGAGCAAGACAGGGCATTTTCAGCAGTGATGCTGATGTAATGGAATATCCTCTCCCCTCAAAAATGGGATCCACACAATTCCTGTATCTGATACTTTTCTAATATTATTTCTGAAAGGGGTAGCAATTTCAAACTGCTTTTAATGTTTAGCATTTTAACCTGCTGTTTTATATTTTTCCTGTAGGAATTCATACCTGTTTTATTCACATCTGTAAGCTGCCTGGCTTTGAAACAAAAAGGCAGTCGATGATTATGGTGATAAATGTGTGAAATAATTAATGTGATAAACACTGGGGGTCTTATGTTAAATAAATCAGTCCTAACCCCAAGAGAAAGAACTCTGAATTGTGATGTGCTGGAGCAGTTAAAAGTGGAGTTCAAGTAAAAATTCACTCTGCATCAACATTTGATATTTTCAGTAGCATATCAAATTTCAAATCCATTTTTAAAAATGTAGTTAAAATTATTATAAGTGAAGACTACCAAATTAAAATTCTAAACTAAAGATGTCATGGAAAACACTCAAGCAGTTGCAACCCATTCAACAACTTCAGCAAGAAAAGTTAAGTGCCAGCCGTTTTGTTCCACTGATTTGTGACATAGGTGAGACTGGCTGACAAATTGCAGCCTTGCTATGTGGATGGCAAAAACCACAGAAACCTAGTCCAATTTACATAGTGAATAAAACACCTTCCCAGCTCTGTTAACCAGTGATCAACATCTGTCCAGATCAAAGTGAGCTTAAATGAGGGAGGGTGAGTAGCTCAATTAGCAACTGAAAAACGAAAGCAGCAACAGCCCAGGTCTCCTTTTCCAGCCCAGAAACAGACTAAGGGAGCACACTTTCCCATCTGGGTCTTGCTCTGCCCCTGAGAGCTTCTCAAGGGACCAGATTGGCTCTCATAGCATGCAAAGGACCAAACCTTGCTAGCCAGAAAGCAACCTGACTTCCAGCTGCCCCCCTCTCTCCTCCTCGCTCTGCTTGCCTTTCCCTGCCCTGCCTGAGGGCGCCCTGAGGAGACTCCGCTCTCCTTTTTGACCAGGCGAGGTGGAAAAAAGGGGGGAAAGTCTCTTCCCGCCCCCTCGCCAGACTCCCTGCTCGGCTCGGCTCACTACCCAGGCGGCCAGTGGAGAGAGTCTTGAGCCGCTTAATTCCAGCAAGGAATTAGCAGGCTCGCTCCACCTCCTCCTCCTCCCGACTTTGTGCTGCTGCTGCGCGGCTTTTTTTCCTCTACCGACGGCACGCTGTGCCTTGGAGAGGTTCCCGCTTCCTCGAGGGGGGCCGGCCAAACGCGCCCCCCAAAATGTTGCGCCCGGTGCGGCCGGCACCCCTGGCACCCCCCACGCTACGCCACTGCAGCTGCTTGCTGCAGTGAGAGTGCAACCCAGCCTGCTGTGGAGGGACAGTAAACCTGCATTTATGGGAGACAAGCCTAGTTTTATTACACTAGTCTAACACTATGGGTATCAGAGAGTACTCAAGACAAACTGAATATGGCCCAGGAAGCATCTCCATTCCATTAAGATAAACAATTTATTTCTACCATTCTTAATCTTTGATTCCACACAACGGCATCTTGGATAATGCTGAAGTTCTGACTTGACGAAACACTTCCAACCAAGACTTTTAGGTAGGACTGGTTAGGGAAAGTGACCCAGTTGATGATATCATATCCAATTGACATTTCCTTGTTCTCAAACAAGACTTCTTGAGCAGCTCCATTGTTAAAATGGATGTTTTCCAGGAAAGGATGGAGCTAGATTGGGATAAAACAGAATAAAGTTTATAAAGTGCCGTCCATAGTTTCTGTGTGCTCAATCTGGCATTTGATCATGTAGAAGCATTGGACCTGAAATAAAATTCAGAGGAATCAAATTCAGAGGCTTTCTGTCCCTTTATCTCCACACAGTAAAATAGTAGAAGAGTGGATTAATTTCGGATCTTGACTGAGAGAAACTGCAACAAATATTTAAAATGAAATCCATTTTCTCAGTATGCTCTCTCAGCAATCTACAGCTCTACCACTGTTGACATGAACTGCACAGCAGACTCCCACCAGTTCCTCATAGGTTTACCAATACTTAGGACAACCAAAATGTTGCCAGATAGTGAGCAAACTTCCATATTCTCCAGAGCTCTTTGTTAGACAGTGTTTTTTTGGGTGGAGGTGTGTGGAATGTTCCCATAGAGTACTTTGGTCCTGTCTTTTCTTCTGGTAATCTGATGCAGTAGCCATCCTGTGTTGAACCATGCTAAGCTTGGTAGCCATCGGGTGACTGATGCTTTTCCAAATTCCAAACCTTAAAGTGATTCTTTACCTGCCATGGCTGGACATCCACATGCTCCAGTTTGCTTTTATGCAACATAGTTCTTGGTTTGGAAAGGTATCTGGCATGCAAAGCATGTGCCACAGCATAGACAGCATTGTAGATACCAAAGCTCTCACCAGACATATCCATCTCATAAACCTTGGCAGGAAGATCCTCTAAATCCCCCTCTCTACACCTTTCACACCGTAGCAGTGCTAATTGCCAGAACAAACAGAGGAACATCATTAGTGTCTTATCAAGCTTTACATTATGAAGAAATTCCCTGAATCCTGGCACTGTATCTGCATGGACTGAGAAAGAAAAGGCACCAAAGAAAATGTTTCTGCCAATCAGTTCTCCATTGGGTAATGTGCTGAAATACCACCCAAGGGGCATGATCCAAACCTTTCCTATTTTGATCATCACATTGATTTCATTTGCTTCCATCAACTGTGCTAGAGTATTAAGCAAGAATGCATCCACCTTGAGAACAATCACATTGGCATCAGCTGAAACAAGTGTTTGTATTAAGTCCTTGATTCTTACAATGTAATTCAATTGCACGTCATTATTAAGAATAAAGTTAATTATTCTTTCCCTTTTCAAAAAGGCAATGCATATACTGTTCTGGGCAAACAAGGGTGTTATTTTCTTCACAAAACTTTCCCCAGCATCATCATCAGATACAATAAGGCCAATCCATGTCCATCTGAAATGCAGAAGAAGCTGAATGATCCCCATATGGTAGGTAGTTTCCCTTGGTGCCATCCGGTACAAAAAAGGGAAATCACTTTTGCCTCTTTCTGTAGCTTCAAATGAACCAAAAGTGAGCTAATGAACAGACAGACACAGTATATATTAAAACTAAAAGAAAAATAAACCTGCCTTTATTATAAGCAACTGCACCCAATGGAAACCATCCATGTGATAATTGTGGTCACACATTACATTCAACAAGGGTAAAGGCAAAGGTACCCCTGCCTATACGGGCCAGTCGTGTCCGACTCTAGGGTTGTGCGCTCATCTCACTTAAGAGGCCGGGGGCCAGCGCTGTCCGAAGACACTTCCGGGTCACGTGGCCAGCGTGACGAAGCTGCTCTGGCGAGCCAGCACCAGCGCAGCACATGGAAACGCCGTTTACCTTCCCGTTATAAAGTGGTACCAATTTATCTACTTGCACTTAGGGGTGCTTTCGAACTGCTAGGTGGACAGGAGCTGGGACCGAAGGACGGGAGCTCACCCGCCACGGGGATTCGAACCGCCGACCATACGATCGGCAAGTCCTAGACATTGAGGTTTTACCCACAGCGCCACCCGCGTCCCATCAAAAAAAAAATAAACCTGCCTTTATTATAAGCAACTGCACCCAATGGAAACCATCCATGTGATCATTCTGGTCACACATTACATTCAACAAGGGTACAGTCTGTGTATTTGTGTGTTAAGCTATAAACTCATACCCTTATTCACATGTAATTTTCAATGAGTGTATGGTCTGTGAACAATACAATAATATATGTAAGAATAGAATAGGTGTCCCACTAATGCACTAATTTTCATGAATGTGCAAATAATGATAGAATGTTTTCTTTTTGATTTAAAGAAAAACTGAAAAAAAATTATTCAGAGGAAAATGTTTTGGATAATTCAACTCAAATACAGTCACTACATGTGTTGATACAGATCATGCCTCTCTGTTATAGCCAGCAACTTGTATATGTAGCTAAAGGTAAACCTACAGACCAACTTTTTATAACCTTAGTGATGGATTTATTATGCTTTATTAGTTGTTCTATGGTACTTCCAGTATGGGTGCATTCTCTGTGTGTCCCCTCCACGAGAGGTCTGGAGGGTGGCAACACAAGAAAATGAATTTTCTGCAGTGGCTTCCCATATGTGGAATGGTCTCCCTGGAAAGGTTTCCCTGGCACCTTCATTAGACATCTTCAGGCACCAAGCAAAAACATTCATCTTCAACCAGGCCTTTGGCCTTTAACTATTTTTAGCCTTTTAGAAGTGAGATGGATGTTTATATTTCTTTTCCACTCTTGGCTTTAATGTATCTTTGTGTGTGGTGGGTAGGGGGGTTCTTCCTGTTGGCCTGTTTGTAACGCATTTTGGCTTGCCCTGGCAGAAAATTCAGTGAAGAAGAAGAAGAAGAATTTATTATTTATACCCTGCCCATCTGGCAGGGTTTCCCCAGCCACTCTGGGTGGCTTCCAACAAAATATTAAAATACAGTAGTCCATCAAACATTAAAAGATTCCCTAAACAGGGCTGCCTTCAGATGTCTTCTAAAAGTCTGGTAGTTGTTCTTCTCTTTGACATCTGGTGGGAGGGCGTTCCACAGGGTGGGCGCTACTACCGAGAAGGCCCTCTGCCTGGTTCCCTGTAACTTGGCTTGTCACAGCAAGGAAACTGCCAGAAGGCCCTTGGCACTGGACCTCAGTGTCTGGGCAGAACGATGGGGGTGGAGACGCTCCTTCAGGTATACTGTACCGAGGCTGTTTAGGGCTTTAAAGGTCAGCACTAACACTTTGAATTGTGCTCGGAAATGTACTGGGAGCCAATGTAGGTCTTTCAAAACCAGTGTTATGTGGTCTCAGCGGCCGCTCCCAATCACCAGTCTAGCTGTCACATTCTGGATTAGTTGTAGTTTCTGGGTCACCTTCAAAGGTAGCCCCACATAGAGCGCATTGCAGTAGTCCAAGCAAGAGATAACCAGAGCATGCACCACTCTGGCGAGACAGTCTGCGGGCAGATAGGGTCTCAGCCTGCGCACCAGATGGAGATGGTAAACAGCTGTCCTGGACACAGAATTGACCTGCGCCTCCATGGAGAGCTTCGAGTCCAAAATGACTCCAAGGCTGGGCACCTGGTACTTCAGGGGCACAGTTACCCCATTCAGGACCAGGGGACCACTGGAAATCATTGCCCAATGCAACCAAGGCAGTTTCAGGCCCACGATGAGGCCTGAATCCCAACTGGAAGGGATCCAAATGGTCCGCATCTTCCAGGCATGCCTGGAGTTGTTCAGCAACCACTCACTCAATCACCTTGCCCAAGAAATAAACAACAATCATGTAGCCTGCATGTAAACGACATCATTTATACATATATTGATATGCACAAACCTGTGGAAACTTATAGTTACTTAAGAGGGTGGCCATCTGCATAGAGTGTTCTGAACTGAATCCCCCAATAACAGACAATGCATTTTTCCTCTCACACCTGTAATTGGGCATATTCTTTTTCTGCTTAAAGAGTAGATCCAGGATGACCTCGTGTGTTCTTCTGGAGTTAAACAGGTTGTCATAGATATCGAACCCCAGTGTGATGTTGGGCAGGAGCCGTGTGTTGTCATTGATCTCATTAATGGCAAAAATCAAGGCAAAGACATGTTGATAGTATTTCAACTTTGTTCTGTAATCAGGTTGACAGTGAAACTTAGAGACATCAATTAGAGAGAACATAAATTGCTATTAGCAGCAGAGATATCTCTTTAAAAGAGATGCCACACACATCCAAACAAGACTGAGAAATGTAGGTTAAGATCAGAAAAAACTGAATCAAGTTTTGAATCATCATGTATGAACAGAGTTGCTCAACTGAAGCGGGGTGAGGGGAAGGATAATATTTGATGGTAAATCTGGGACAGATGAAGCCACATTTAAATACTTTAAATCATGGACAACTCACTGCGGGTATGAGAAAGGCAGGTTAAGATAAGAAAATAAATGTGGAACAGAGGAATGTATTATGATTCAGAATGTGAGAGGAGAGTTAGACCAATGGGGAATAGGGAGAATATTTCTTTGTAAATCACTGGCCTTTGGATCGACTGGACTTAATATTTGAAACATTGGATGGAGCTGCCTTTCTTCAGTAATAGTATTGGGGATTCTCCATTCCTTTCTCTACTTCCCTTTCATGCTCTCCTGGCTCTGCTTGTCATGTAAGAGAGATACAGTGAATTGACTCAGCTTTGTACAACAGGCTGTTTTAAAGGGCTACACCTAGGAGAATAGGGTGGGGTCAAAATCCTTCCTATTATGGAGGCTCTTTGGGGTAACAGTTTCCCCCACTTGGGGGTTGCATTTTGACCCCAAACCTGTGTTTTACAGCCTAGATTTCTTCAAAGATATTAAGGAACTGCTATGAAGATTTCTCACTGGGAAATCTGGGAGTGGAAAAGACAAAAGTGAAGTTTAACAAAAAGCCATTCTGATAAAAAGGTTCCATGCAGAGTGTGAACTTATGGTCCCAACTCTAGTTCTTCCCAGGGTCACTTATTCAGGGGTGCCAACTTAAACAAAATATTGTGGGGGCCCAGGTAAGCCCCACCCTGCATAACTGCTCACATGATGCAGTGCACACACACCATTTGAATGGGAATGCCTATCAACTTGGGGGGAGGAGCTCCTAGGAGTTGGCTGCTATGCACTTATTCAAAGTCAGAAAAGCTTATCCAGATTGGATTTTAGGAATTCAGGGATTTGAATGCTTGCCACTCCTTTAAGGCAAATCTACCTAGGCACCAAATGTAGTTTCTGGGTGTTTATTAAAAGCAGAAATTTGAACGATACATTTTCCTCATTAACTTCAGTTAAACCCTTTGAAAAATTAGCTGTTTTGGACATTCCACAAACACACCTGCAATGTGACTGTTGCCAAATGTAATGTGGGCAAATATGAATATGAGTTATTAAAAAAAAGACTGTACAAAACTTACAAAGGAGCATCATGACTTCCATCTGGAGCAACTTTAAAATTGAGCAAATATACCCCAGGTTGACTTAAAGAAAGAACCCCACCAATCACTACTTCTCCAGGCTTATACAAATGGTCTTCGGTGTTAATGCATGCTCCTGTCATTTCACTACAGGCAAAAGGAGGAAGCTGCAGCTGTAACAATAGCATCAATAACCAACATCTTGGTTTAAAGACAAGCCTACCATGCTGCAATTGAACCATAGCATGCTTTGCCACACACACAGCAGGGATAGAAGATGGTCAGTTTGTCCTTCCTGCATTTATCTCTGTGTTCTCGTCTGTAAGTGGCACATTGCATCCAGCACTTGTGTGAGGTCAACATTTCTGTTTTAATTTTTGTCACAGATGAAGGAAAGCTAATAATAGTGCTTCACATAATTACAGAGTAAATTAATTTCTCCCTGATGTCACCTATGCTGTTTGTGAGAACCAAATAATTTTTTTCCCAGACTCAACCAGGTTTCCACCTGCTTCAGTGAAGTTACAATGTTTGATGGTTTTGGTAAAAGAAGTGGATGAAATTCCAAGCTTTTCCGAGGCAAAGGTGAAGGACCCCTGGACAGTTAAGTCCAGTCAAATTTGACTATGGGGTGCAGTGCTCATCTCACTTTCAGGCCTAGGAAGACAACGTTTGTCCATTTTTCCAGTCATGTGGCGAGCATGACTGAACCACTTCTGGTGCAATGGGACACTGTGACAGAAGTTCTTTCATCTTGTACCCACACTCAACTCCATCCACCTTTGTCTAATGAGTGAAGCCTTTCCCCCGTTTAAATAATGCCTTATGTAGTACTTGTTTCTTGTCCAGTATCCTATTTAAGCCACACGATCTTGTCATTTTGCCACTATGAGTAAGCCTGACTAGTTCTTCTTCTTGTTCTTCATATCCCTGCATTCCCTTTCAAAGAATAAAATGGGGCCCTACAAAAAAAGCTGTCTCATCTAATGGCAATTAAGATTCAGGCAATTTAAGCTGTCTGTTACAAGAAGCACAAAAAGTGTACTAGTACAAAAAAAGACACATAAGAAATAAATTTGCATTCAGTCATTACTTTCATGGGGTTAGCAGTTTACTAAGTCCAGTAAAAAAGTGCTTAATGGTAATACAATAGAATACAATACAATACAAGTAGGAAACAAAAACTGGTCAATCATTTGCTGTTTGAGTTATCAGCATCTTAGTATTGCTCAGTCAATTTTATTGTATATAGCCAAATGCCTTTATAATGGACAGCAGAGAATAAAAGGGAAACTTTCATCTAAAATTATACAATTCAACCTGTAGCAGTTTACAACCTAAAAAAATTACAACATTAAAAATTAAAATTGGAGTGCATTCACATAGCTGGAACGGAGTTTCTTGGCTGCTAACGCAAAATTGGCTACCTGGTGTGTAATGTATAAATGTTTATCTGCTAGGAGTTCAACTGTGTCTTCCTGTGTGGATTACCCTGCAAGCCAATTAAGAATTGGTGATATAAATTTTCCTGTGGGCGTTGTATACAGGGGACAAATCAGCAGATAGTGTGTGATGTCCTCTACCTGATGGCATCCATATATACATTTGCAATCCATATGGGGAATTCTCCAATATCTCCCCTCTAAATTTGCTGAGGGCATCTGTTGGAATCCGAGTTCTACAAAGAACCTGCGTATTTTTGGGAATGTCAGAATTGGGCCTTGAGTGATTTGTTTTAATTTGAAGGTACCAAGTAGAGTAACGACCTGCAGCGATGGATGGCATCCTGGTCCTGGTTGGCATCCTGATCAAAAATTCAATTTCTAAGGTCATGTGGGCAAAGGGCTAAGTAGTTATCCATCTGAAGCTTATAAGACCTAAGCTTATCTTGGCACTTTTGTGCCCAGCCCCCTGTCCTTAGTTGCTCTAACCAGAGCTTAGTAAGGTTATGATCCTCAAAGGCATTTAGTCTGTGCCAGTATCTCAGATAGACTAGATCAATTCTGGCTACTAGCAAGGGAGGCCCAACTCAGTTCTGAGGTGGGCTACTGGTGTCCTGCAGGGAAGCCCCAAAATCTGCCTCATAAATTTATTTTGTAGGACTTCTATTTCAGATTTAACACCAAATTCATCTTAGTATTGAGATTGGCCCTCAAAAACAATCATGTAACATTTGGGGAGAAAGATACAAGCTAATGCACAGTTTACTAAGTTCAGGAAAGAACTTTTAAATGGGACCCCCACCCCCAAAAAACATGTAGCAAACAAAAACTGATCAATCATTTCCTTTTTTGGTTAGCAGCACCTTGGTATTCAAATCAGCCTTGGGGGGAAACGATGCAACATTTTGTGTGGGAGATGCAAGCCAATAGCCCAGTGTTGGAGGCCAAGATGGCAAAAACCTCCACAGCCATTATATATTTTCCCTTGATGATTAGGTAACTTGGAATAAATGAGATCGAAACACTGCAAAACACCAACATGCTGAAGGGGATAAATTTGGCTTCACTGAAAGTGTCAGGCAATATTCTAGCTAAGAAAGCTACAGTGAAGCTGATCATGGCTGGAAAATCCATGTAGCCCAAAATGCAATACAACATGATAATAGAACCTTCATTACATTCCAGCAATAAAAAAGCAATATATCACCAAAGTGAACAGATTGCAGGAATTGCATATTTGGATGAAAGAATGGAGATTTAACAGGCAAAATCAGCCCATCCTTTTTCCAGTTAGCAGGGTTTTTTTGTTGAGATCAGCCCTGAAAATAATGATGTAACACTTGGGGAAGAAGATGCAAGCCAACAGCCCAGTATTGGAGGCCAAAATGGCAAAAACCTCCACAGCCACAATGTGTTTCCCCTTGGTGCTCAGATAACCAGGAATAAAGGAGATCCAAACACTGCAAAACACCAGCATGCTGAAAGTGATAAACTTGGCTTCATTGAAGGTGTCAGGCAAGCTTCTGGCTAAGAAAGCTACAATGAAGCTGAAGAGGGCGAGAAAGCCAATGTAGCCCAAGACACAGTAGAACATGGTGATGGAACCTTCATTGCATTCCAGTATGATCTTCCCAGTCTGTGAGTACATGTCAACATCTGGGAATGGTGAAGAGGACAACGACCATGCAATACAAATACACACTTGTTTGAGGGAGCAGGAAAGAACAATGGAAATAGCTACTTTTTGGCCCAGCCATGTCCTGATTCTGTTGCCTGGCTTTGTGGCCAAGAAGGCCAGGATCACAAGGATTGTTTTTGCCAACACACAAGAAACTGCCACAGAGAAAATGATGCCAAAAGTCATTTGTCGAAGAAGGCAGGACAGCTTCCCAGGTTTGCCAATGAAGAGCAAACAAGAAAGATAGCACAACAGGATGGCAATGAGAAGAACACAGCTGAGGTTCTGGTTGTTGGCTTTGACAATGGGCGTGTTCCAATGCTTTAGGAAGGTTTGTGTCACAAAACAAGTGATCACAGCAAAGGAAAGAGCAACACTAACCAAAACAATCCCCAAGGGCTCTTGATAGGATAGGAAAGATATAACCTTAGGGATACAGTGGTCATGGATCTCATTTGGATAGTGATCTTCTGGGCACATGGTACAGTGAACTGCATCTGAAAAGTATAAAGAGAATATATCATTGAAATAGCACTCTTTGCTTTAAGCAGGAAGGATTAAATCTCATAATGCCTTGTGAATGCTGGACAAAAATGATTCAGTCCAAATGTTTTAATGAAGGCGTCTCAATTCCAAATATATACTAAGCACGGAACAAAGCCTAAAGACAGGAGGGTTACATTCAGTGAGGTACCTCAGGGTGACTTGAAGAAATGATCATTAAATAATAATCATCTTTTTGGTGGGGCAATAAGACCTCGCTACTTGCCGTAAGGTAGGGCCCAGGCTTTGGGGCTATATCTTGTCATGCCCTTTGGAATGGGAAGTGTTTGGCTTTGCCAAGCAGAGTCAGCCCACCATGTCCCTGAGTCACACTGAGCCAGTTGCCTCAGGCAGCAGGCAGGGTACAGCTGGGAGGGAGGCAGAGTGTCCCTCCCCCCCCCACCACCACCCATGTTGCCCTAGAGGGAAAAGGTCCCTCCACCACTGGCTGGGAAGAGTGGGGCCACTGCTGCCACAGCCTGTTCCTTTCCATCTCTTTTTTTTCTCTCTCCCATCTTCTTCAGCATGCTGGGGCTGATTTCTCAGGAAGCAGCAGAGGTGACAGCAAGGGGCAGATTTTATGAATAAAATGTTCAAATCATCACTTGTGTCTTGTTTCTTTATTTCTGGGTCTGGTTGCAAAACACAACCGTTTTAACTTAAGTGTGTCCATTGACAAAAATATCCTGAAAACTGATTCACCAATAAAGTTCCAATATATTCCCTTGCAATCATGATTCAAAACTCTGAAGGCTGATTCAGGACAGTAGTCCCAGGGTGGATCTATGCTCATCGTTTTTAATGTTAAGGAAGGGTTAAGAAATGGTTTCGATAATGTAGATGAACACATGATGTCCTCCTTTTTACATTCATAATGTGTTATCACCTTGTCTTTTTATCACTTAATGAATAATCATTTTATGCTGCGATATTGGTAAAACACTGCTCATATGCCCCTTTGTAGCATTTTACCTTCTTTTTTTATGTCATTGAAACTCCCATCCCCCTCCAGTGGTATTTGAGGGGCACAGAAATCAAAGACAATGGAGGGAGGGAAAGATGGGAGGGAGGAAGATTAAAATGTAACACCAGAGGACAAAGCAGAGCAACCAGTGACCAGGAGCAGGGAAAGAAACAACATTTAGGAAAATGTTGTGGCTGGGTATTATTTAAATTAGATGCAAAAACCAAGGTATAAAACATGTTAATTAATAAGTATGCCCTGTGACGTTTTAAAACAACATATCTACCATCGTCCTAATAACAGGAAATAACATTAAACACGTCAGTGTAGATCCCGCCCTGGACATTGTTGACCACTGAACTGCAAAGTAGCTCTGTGAAGCAGAAGCAGTGCCTTTCTTGAACAGCTTTTCAGTTGAGATGTCAAACATGCCCAGTGAAAAGCACTCAATTGTTGGTGGCTTTTCTGTAGAGAAGCAGCTTGCAAAAGTGCATTATGCACAAAGAAGGATTGACACCTCTGACAAACTGAGATGTGAATCTTGTGGGGTGTATGCTTGCTTCTTTGCAAGCAGCTTCCCTGCTGTCAAGCCACATGTAAAGGAGCAGGATTGGCACCTCTGCAGAGCAACCGTTCAGTGGAGGCCCTGATCCTACATGTGACAGGGTGCTGCTGTGCAAGAAGCTTGTCAGAGAATTGAACTCCTGCTCCTAGTTTGGAAGTGGGAGGAGAGGGGAAAGCAATAGCTCCTTCCTGCTTCCCCTTCCCGGTTACATGTTCATTAAAAATAAGTTCCTCCCTAAAATACTTCAGAACCAGGTTAAAGGTAGAGCAGGTGGTTAACCCTGATTCAAGAGCCCTGGATTGAGGTTTAGTATTGTATGTCAGTGCATAGCCCTGCACACTACAGAACTATACTGATAATTCTTTTGCTATGTTGATAAATCCTCAGTAGTGCCAATCTGCATAAACACGGACTTGCAAATTGTAATTTCTCAGGGACCTGAATAGAATTAGGAATGCACTGCAGATGGAAGAGTGTTTCTTAATTTTTCCCACTGTGCTGTGGTCCTGATAAAGTATAGAACACAAAACTCATGTTTCTAAAATTTACTGTACACTGTCACATACCCTTCTTGTTAGAAATCATGTTTTCTGAGCACGGAGTGCAGTCATAGCAACAGGCTGGTTTTCCTTCTTGAACTATCTTACTGTGTCCAATATGGCAGCTTTCAACACATATGGAACGTGGTAGCACCTATTCATTAAAAAAAAGGGGGGGGAATAGAATGCATGAACCTTGTCCTCAAACATAGGCCAGCCCATCACTTCTGTCCTTGCATGAAATCTGATGTGGTTAGGGTCTTTTTAGTGGTGGGAAATGGGGAAACAATGAAAGCAAACTATAAGGGGTGTTTAAAGATATGTAGCAGCCTATATTCCTAATGCTCCACTGTGCTGCACATTTTTAATTTTTAAATATTCTGCTGGGAGCTATGACTTCCTAGAGAGTGCATATAGCCCCACACTTTCACTCTTTTATTAATTGCCATACACAGCTTTTTTTACTATTTCTCTGACAAGAAGCACTATATGCCACCTATTCTGCACTACAGCTCTAACACTAGGAGCTAATCAAGTTTGCCATTTGGTTGTGTGCCGAGCCCTGAAACCCACCCCATGGAAATAAAGACACAGTGAAGACAGAATTTAGTTTAAAGGTTAATGTGCAAATTTAGGCCACAACTTTATTGAATACACAAGTGTGACTGGTATTGGCTTAGGCATTGGTATCTAATGACTATAACAGGCTCCTGCTAACCCAGCAGGGAACCTGCAGGGGTAAACTACCAGCAGAGGGAACTCCATCAATGTATATTGACTGGAGCTCACCCCTGGGGTTCCCAGGGGTCCTGGCATGGCCCTAGCCCCTCCCTGGGCTTTGGACGAGATCCAGACCCCGGATTCCTTTAACGGAATACCCTATCAAAATGGCGGGGCAGGTGATGGCCGCACATCCCCTCCCCACATCCCCTTAAACCATTGCTTAACTGTCAAACCTTACAAAGTTGTGACGATTGCTAAGAGGTAGGCAAAAACCAAGTGGCCACAGCCAATCTGCCACACTGGGGAAAATTCCTACCCGGCCCCTGTTCCAAAACAGGTGACCAACTGAAGTCCAAAGCAAGGCCAGACATGACCTAACTAACAGGTGGGAGGGCGGGTGTTTGGCAGCACAAAGCAAGAAGAGGTCCCCACATCGTGCTTCCGATTAAATACCCCCAACCCTTGTCACGTCGCCGATTGGCCAAGCCAGTTGGGGGGAGTCCCAGAGCAATATGGACCCTCTGTTAAGAGGATACAACTTCCCAGAGCAAGCAAGAGGCCAAAGTCCTGTCAGCTGAAAAGCTGACAGGCTACTAGCTGCGTGCAGCAGTGGGAGTGCAACCCAGTCTGCTGCTAAAAAAACAGTGAACTTGGATTTGTGTGATATTTTATTACCCAGGTCAAGCTCTGGAAGGCTCGGGAATTAGTAAAGAGAAATTATAAACTGAAGGGTCTGCAGCGGAAGTGCAAAATGGCACAGACAGCAGCTCCATTCCATTAAGATACACAATTTCTTCCTACCTGCTTTAATCTCTGATTCCACACAATGACATCTTCCATAACGCTGAACATTTGGCTTGGCAAAACCTTTCCAACTAAGACTTTGATGTAGGACTCATTGGGGGAAATGACCCAGTTGATGATATCATACCCAATGGACAATTCCTTGTTCTCAAACAGGACTTCTTGGGCAGCTCCATTGTTAAAATGGATGTTTTCCAAGAAAAGGTGGAGCTAGATTGGGAGGCAGCACAACACCTTTTATGAAATGGCATGCATAGTTACTGTGTCTATTCTACTGTGTCTATCTTCCATTTGGTCATTTACAAATATTTTAAAATTGGACCTGAAGAGAAGCACAGAGGATTCAAATTCATAAGATTTCTGTCACTTTATCTCCACATAGTAAGATAGCAGTGAAGGTGAACTGATCATGGAGTTTAATTGGGAGAAACTACAATAAATATAAAAATTGAATCCATTCTCTCAGTATGCTTTCCCAGCATGCTTTCTACAAACATACCACTGTTAAAATGAACTGTACAGCAGACTGTCCTCGGTTCCTCATCAGTTTATCAGTACTTAGGGCAACAAAGGTGCCACAAAATAGTTAGCAAACATTAATATTCTCCAGGGGAGTGTGTAAGAGTGGGTGAGTGTCAGTGTATACACCAATACATCCTGAGACAGCTGTAAAAGGTAAAGGTAAAGGGACCCCTGAACATTAGGTCCAGTCGTGACCAACTCTGGGGTTGCAGCACTCATCTCGCTTTAATGGCCGAGGGAGCCGGCGTACAGTTTCCGGGTCATGTGGCCAGCATGACTAAGCTGCTTCTGGCAAACCAGAGCAGCACACAGAAATGCTGTTTACCTTCCCGCCGGAGCGGTACCTATTTATCTACTTGCACTTTGACATGCTTTCGAACTGCAAGGTTGGCAGGAGCAGGGACCGAGCCACAGGAGCTCACCCCGTTGCGGGGATTTGAACTGCCGACCTTCTGATTGGCAAGTCCTAGGCTCTGTGGTTTAACCCACAGCGCCACCCACATCCCAACAGCTGTAAAAGATCTCAGTAAATATATTCTCAAAAATCTACAGTGAACGACAGTTAGTTTGTTCTTCCTGATGAGTTCCTGTTTGAAAGGGCTCAATCTCTACATTGAAAACCCCTGTTTAGACGTGCTCGCACTTCATTGGTGTCAAAATTTGAGAACTAGTCTGCCTTCTATTTTGAACAAAGAAGGGTGGGCAAGGAATATATTTTTCTAAGCATGTGCAGTGAATGGTGATATAGATTCATTTGCTGAATCTCAGGCAGTGGTGGTGGAGATATGTCCATTCATTTTCGCATCCATGTCTATTTTTCTGGTGTTTTGATAGGTTGCAATGTTGTGTTATGCCATGTTAATCATGGTAGCCACTTTGTGACTGGTGTCCAAGGCATGATCTCAAATTTTCAAATAGACAACACCAGCCTCAGTGCTTTTTTTCCAGTGGAGTACACCGGAACACAATTCCAGGAACTATTTTTTTCCGAGTGGCAATGGCCGTGGTAGGCTTCTTCACCTGGGTGGCAGCTCCCCAGTAGGTTTGTGTGTGAGAGACAGAGCATCAAAACAACTAACTGCTCAGCCTTGGCATCAGGCCACACTCCTCCCCCATGCACTGGCCCCTCCCCCATCTTTTAATGTGAATATGCCCTTTCTTTCTAGAAAGAAAAAGCATTGCCCAGCCTTAAAGTGATTACACTTTACCTGCCATGATTGGACTTCTTCATGCTCAAGTTTGCCTTTATGCAACAAAATTCTTTGTCTGGAAAAGCATATGGCATGTAAAGCATGTACCACAGCATAGACAGCATTATAGATACTGTAGCTCTCACCAGACATTTCCATTTCAAAAATCTTTATAGGAAGTTCCTCCAAATTCTCCTCTCCTCTACAGCTTTCACACAGTTTAAATGCAGTTTTCCATGGCAAACAGAGAAACTTCTCTAAAGTGTCATCAAGCTTTACATTCTGAAGAAATTCCTTGAATTTTGGCATTGCAATTGTGTGGACTGAGAAAGAAAAGGCACCAAAGAAAATGTTTCTCCCAATCATTTCTCCACTTAGTTTACTGACAAGATCCCACTGAAGAGGCATTATCCAAACCTTTCCTATGTTGCTCATCACATTGATTTCAATTGTTTCCATGAACTGTGCTAAAAAATTCAGCAAAAATGTATCCATCTTGAGAACAATCACATTGGCATCACCTGTAACAGATGTTTGCATTAACTCTTTGATTCTTACAATGTAATCCAACTGCACGTAACTGTTAAGAATATAGTTAGTTACTGTTCTCAAGAAGGCAACACATATTTTGTTCTGGGCAAGCAAAGGAGTCAGTTTCTGCACAAAACTTTCCCCGGCATCATCATCAGATACAACCAGGCCAATCCATGTCCATCTGAAATGCAGAAGAAGCTGAATGATCCCCATATGGTACGTAGTTTCCCTTGGTGCCATCTGGTACAAAAAAGGGAAATTGCTTTTCCCACTAACTGCAGCTTCAAATGAACCAAAAGTGAGCTAACAAACAAACAAAAAACAAAAGAACTCTGCCTTAATAAGCAACTGCACCCAAGGACACATTTCATGTGGTCACTCTGGTAACACATTACATTCAACAATGCTAGTCTGTGAATGTGTATACTGAAATACCTTAGTTAAGCTATACACTCATACTATTAATCACATTAAATTTACAAACTATAAATAATATCTGTAAGAATAGAACAAGTGCCCCATGAATATGCTTATTTTCATGTACATGCACCTAAACGTAGGATTTCTTTTTGATTGACAATGTATTTATTCAGCGAGAAATATTTTAGATACCTCAACTCAAAAGTGTTTCAACACGTCTGTTAAATGACTTTTCTCTGCTACAATTAGTCACTAGAATGTGTAGATAAAGGAAAACCCAGGTCTCCCACAGAGCCGTGTTTTACTGAAGGTGTCTTTTGCAGCAGGTTCTTGATGCAAATATAGTGTTCTGGGGGTGGGGTTATGCTGCCTTATTAGTTGTCCTGTTATACTTCCTATAGGACCACATTATTGCTATCTGTAGGTATAATAGGACAGCTAAAGTGGGATAAAAGCTACAACAACACAGAATATCTGTGGCTTTGAAATTTACAGGATTTCAGGACATTACAGCATGTGCACTGATTGAAAATGAAGCAATATGACCACACCAAAACTTTTACAGGCACAAATGGTCCTGAAAGGGATGTTGTATGATCCCTCCAATTGCTTCATGAGCACAAATCATCATGAGTGCATAATAAAAAAGTCTGGAGAGCTCTCTAATGTGCTTGTGTTACAGCCCTGTATAATAGAATAAGAATAGTCTCTTCATATTCATATTTGTATAGATCTGTTCATTATTAATTAATTAGTCCAAAACACAGCACTGCTGAGTTTACCATGTAGAGCTTGTTAGCAGCTAAATATTTTTCTGTTACCTTTAGTCGTTGTGCAACACAGATAGCCCAAAGTTATTTGTTGTAGTAGCTCATTAATTAGGTAATCTAAGTCTATGGTTTTAAATGGCTCTAGTATGAATGTAACGAAGAGCAAATATAACCATAGGTGTTAATTTATGCGTAGAAGTTTAGTTTTTAATCAGTATTCCAACACAGTGTCATTAACCATTAATTACTTCCACTTTTGAGAAACAACTTCTGATATTTTTTTCATACTCTTTTTATGAAAAAGGGAGATTGATAGAGCATAATTGAAAAGCAAGTGGAAATCATCCATATGAAGCTTGAGTGTGCATACCTGTGGGATCCTGTAGTTGCTTAAAATGGTAGACATCTGCTTGGAATATTCTGAAGTGAGTCCCCCAATAACAGATAATACATTTTTCCTGTCACACTTGTAATTGGGCATATTCTTTCTCTCCTTGAAAAGTAGATGCAGAACGGATTGGAAGGTTCTTTTTAAATTATATAAATTGTTGAAGATATGGAACCCCAGGGTGGTATTGGGTAAGAGCCGTGGGTTGTCATTGATCTCACGAATGGCAAAAATCAAGGCGAAAACATGTTGATAATATTTGAAGTTTATGCTGCAATAAGGTTCACATTGAGATTTATAAAGGTGAGTTTGGGGTTGTTCAATTTGCTATTAGCAGCACAGGTTTGTTTGGTTTTTAAAATTGCTGCTGGATAACTTTCTACCTACTGGAGTAAGGGAGGTTAAGATGAATGTATTTTGGTTCAGTATCTGAGATCATAATTGTTCAGTTGAGTCAGACAGAGAGGGAACAGGTAGAGTAAGTCATTGTAAACCCAGGGCAGATGCAGCCAGATTTTTTCCCATTGATTAGCTGTTTGCCTTTGGATCAGTGGGACATAATATATTAACATTAGATAGTTCTTGCCAGTGGAGCAGCCGGTTTCGAGTGGGGAAAGCTATGCTGGGTACTCCCTTGTACCTCTTTCTCTTCCTGCCTGGTATATTTCCCTGGTGATTCCTGCATACACTATGCATAACATGCAGTGAGAAGGCAGTGAATTGGCTCAGCTTTCATTCTTTCCTTTCCTTTTAGGTGGGAGCATATATAATGGGACACAACATTATAAAGTGGGCTGCTTTGAAGTGCTTTCCCTAGAAAAAACTGGGGGGTGGGGAGCTCAAAATCCTACCCCATTACAGGGAATCTTTTGGACATTGCTCCATACAGGTGACAGGATTTTGACCAATAACCCACATTTTCTAAGGGACACGTTAGTTATGAAAAGGAACACTTTGTGGCATTCCAGAGGAATTTCTGCCATGCAGTTGTTGGCAAATCTAACATTGTCAACCAGGATTAGAAGTAGACAAAACTGTACAAAACTTACAAACCAATATCGTGATTTCTGTCTGGAACATCTTTAAAATCAAGTAAATAAACCCACTGTTGTTTTAGAGAAACAACCCCACCAATGATTACTTCTCCAGGCTTATACAAATGTTCTTGGGTGTTTCTGCATTCTCCCGTCATTTCCTTACAGGCAAAAGGTGGGGTCTGTAGCTGCCACAACAACAGCAACAGCAAGCACCAGCATTTACGTACATGCCTTCCCATAACAGCATGAATGCTTCACCATACACACAGTGAGAACAGTAGGTGGTGATTTTATCTTTCATGCATATATCACCATACGTCCAGCTCTAAGAGGCACAGTGTAACTAGCACTCAAAGGAATTCAGCCTTTACCCACCCTTGGTTTCTTTTATTTAATTCTTTGTTGTATTTTTTGGTTACATATGAATAATAGTGTTTTGCATAATTACAGAGCAGGTAAATACCTCCCCAAATTGGTGCATTCTCTGCTTGTGGGAAATAGCGAAAAAAATTCACAGACACAGCCAAGGTACCACCTGCTTCACTGTGAGGCTGTCTGAACACGGTTGGTTCTCCTTACAATATTGAGTTCAGGGATGAGGAGTTTGTGGTGTTCCAGATGCTGTTCACCTACAACTACCATCATCCCTGACTAATAGTCATGCTGGCTGGGGTGGATGGGTGTTGCAGTCCCACAACATCTGCAATACAGGAGATTGTCCATGGCTGATATAGAAAGCATTCCTATAGCAAGATCCACTGGGATCTTGTATCCAATCCCACTGCCCAATACTTATATCCCTCTAAGGACTTTGGGGGTAGGATTTAGACTGGATTCTATTTGGATTCAGGTCAGTCAAGTGACTTGGCAACCTGCTGTCTGTTAAGTCAGCAAAAAGGGTGGCGTAACAAATACTATCTTGAAGGTTTGTTTTCCCTCTGCAATGCTCAGGCTGGCTCATCCAACAGTAGTACCCTTTCCTGGCAAGCCCCTTTGTATCTAGTGTACTGTATGCAGGTTACCTTATGCTGTGCTTGCTTTACACCAGTTTCTTGGGCATAAGATCATTGCCTTACATTAATTATTTACTGACCATAAGAAAAGATTACCTTATCCCAAATAAATGGGAATATCATGCAGGAACAGTAATGGAATTTACATCCAGCAGATGCCAACATAGAGTCTGCAATTTCACACATCAGTAATTTTAACCAGACTGGAATTGAGCAGAGCCAAACTTCATGGGACTCCACTGCAGTCTTTTGGAATTTTCTCTGATGAGAACTGAGCAGTTAGGAGTTTGAAGCAACAGGTGTTTTTTATTGTATTTTATTGGCAAAAGAGTGAAGCTGTGCAAAAGTGTGATGATGGTATGTCTCAAGTCCAATATTGCTCCAATGAATATCATTGGAAAACGTTTTTCATTAAACTGTGGGTGTTGGCGGTGATAAAAAAGCTCCTCTCTTTTTCAAACTTCTTTTGCAGGCCATCATAATTATATCCCCCCCCCAGACATTAACTGAGAATATTGGGGGTGGGGACAAGGATAAGCACATAACCTCCATCCTATACAGAGCTGATTCTGTCACTTTACAATTCATACAGGTAAACTGTTTGCACTGTTTGTGGAAGATCAATACATATCATCTATATATCCAAAAGATGCAAATAATAACAATCATATATACCAAACTAAAAAAGAAAAAATTATTCTTTGGATGGTCGTGACCAACCATGGCAGTTAGAACGGCTTGCCTCATTGCCCAGACCATGAAAAGGCAGGCATGGGGTGCAATGGAGGCTCTTTTCCTACCACAAGACAGCCAAGCTCACCTGTGCTCTGGGAGACCTGAGTGGGGAAGTGGGGGGGGGCACAATTAAGAAAATGTGGCTCCGTCCTCACAAGGTGGGCAGCAGCTCAGCTCTGCAGGTGTCCAGGAAGGGCCCCCCATCATTAGAGGAGACCACCAGGGGCCAGCAGGCCAGTTGGTAGTTGAGTGAGCAAACAGGGAAGGAGGAATGGAGCACACATATGGGACTTTCAAGGGAGCTTCTGACACCATCAACACTTATGTGAATATCTGTTCATGTTGCACATTCGTGGAAGGGAAGAAGGCTTGGCTTTTAACCTGAGGTGATTGATGGGGATAAAAGAGGCTGGGAAGTCTGGTGTGTATTTTGAAAGATGTAAGAAAATTGGCCTCTGGTAGAAGTGAAAATGTCCAGAACTTCCACTATATATCCACATTTTTGGTGTTCAGGTAAGCAGGTTGGAAAGAAATCCACACAGAACAAAATAACAGCATGTCAAGTTTATGAACTGGGCTTCAGTGAATGTGCCAAGCAATTTTCAGGTACAATAAAGCTATATCTTTGAACAGTGAGAATGGATAATTCTAATTATAGTACATGGTAACACAGGCTTCATTTCATTCTACTATGAATTCATTGGTTAACCTGACACCTAAACTATGATATGGTTTCCTTGTCTCAATGGCTTAACAATTGAAAGTTATTAGCCAACATGCAGTTACACAGTTTACTAAGTTCAGTAAAAAAAGTCTTTATTGGAACCCTCCCTTCCAGGGGGAGGGGGACATGTAACAAACAAAAACTTATCAGTCATTTCCTTTTTTTGTTAGCACCATCTTAGTATTGAAATCAGCCCTGAAAATAATGATGTAACATTTGGGGAGGAAGATGCAAGCCAATAGCCCAGTATTTGAGGCCAAGATGGCAAAAAGCTCCACAGCCACGATATATTTTCCCTTGGTGCTTAGGTAACCTGGGATAAAGGAGATCCAAACACTGCAAAACACCAGCATGCTGAAGGTGATAAATTTTGCTTCATTGAAAGTGTCAGGCAATTTTCTGGCTAAGAAAGCAACAGTGAAGCTGATCATGGCTAGAAAACCCATGTAGCCCAAGACACAATAGAACATGGTGATGGAACCTTCATTGCATTCCAGTATGATCTTCCCAGTCTGTGAGTGCATGTCAACATCTGGAAATGGTGGAGAGGACAACAACCATGCAATACAAATACACACTTGTTGGAGGGAGCAGAAAAAAGCAATGGAAGTAGCCACTTTTTGGCCCAGCCATGTCCTGATCCTGTTGCCTGGCTTTGTGGCCAAAAAGGCCAGGACCACAAGGATTGTTTTTGCCAACACACAAGAAACTGCCACAGAGAAAATGATGCCAAAAGTCATTTGTCGAAGAAGGCAGGACAGCTTCCCAGGTTTGCCAATGAAGAGCAAACAAGAAAGATAGCACAACAGGATGGCAATGAGAAGAACACAACTGAGGTTCTGGTTATTGGCTTTGACAATGGGCGTGTTCCAATTCTTTAGGAAGGTTTGTATCACAAAACAAGTGATCACAGTAAAGGAAAGAGCAACACTAACCAAAACAATCCCCAAGGGCTCTTGATAGGACAGGAAAGATATAACCTTAGGGATACAGTGGTCATGGTTCTCATTTGGATAGTGATCTCCTGGGCACTTGACACAATGAGTTGCATCTGAAAGGAATGAATAGGATATATCATATAGATGACAGCATTTATGCAGAAGGCAAGAAATGGCATAATGTTTAATTAATACTGGACAAAAATGGCTCAATCCACATGTTTATACTAAGCACAAGTATAAACATTTTAAGAAAGGGTGGGAAGGATTATTTGCCGAATTTCTGTCTTCAGCAAAGAAGCTGAGGGTGACCTGCAAGAATATAGTGAATACATGTTGTTGTTTAGTCATTTAGTCGTGTCCGACTCTTCGTGACCCCATGGACCAGAGCATGCCAGGCACTCCTGTCTTCCACTGCCTCCTGCAGTTTGGTAAGACTCATGTTTGTAGCTTCGAGAACACTGTCCAAACATCTTGTCGTCTGTCATCCCCTTCTTCTTGTGCCCTCAATCTTTCCCAACATCAGGGTCTTTTCCAGGGAGTCTTCTCTTCTCATGAGGTGGCCAAAGTATTGGAGCTTCAGCTTCACGATCTGTCCTTCCAGTGAGCACTCAGGGCTGATTTCCTTAAGAATGGATACGGTTGA